AAATAGTAAATTTAATTAATATAATATATAAACATGCAAGTTTGTATATTTATATATTATAAATATTTGTATATTTACTTTATACAAATAATATTAATTACTTAAATAATAATAATATGTAATAATTTATTACATATAAATAAATTTAATATATTAAATATAGTAAATTTAATTAATATAATATATAAACATGCAAGTTTGTATATTTATATATTATAAATATTTGTATATTTACTTTATACAAATAATATTAATTAATTAAATAATAATAATATGTAATAATTTATTACATATAAATAAATTTATAATTTAATTTAGTAAATTTAATTAATATAAACATGCAAGTTTGTATATTTATATATTATAAATATTTGTATATTTACTTTATACAAATAATATTAATTAATTAAATAATAATAATATGTAATAATTTATTACATATAAATATATTTACTATATTAAATATGTACAGTAAATTTAATTAATATAATATATAAATATGCAAGTTTGTATATTTATATATTATAAATATTTGTATATTACTTTATACAAATAATATTAATTACTTAAATAATAATAATATGTAATAATTTATTACATATAAATAAATTTAATATATTAAATATGTATAGTAAATTTAATTAATATAATATATAAACATGCAAGTTTGTATATTATAAATACTTGTATATTTATTTTATACAAATATATGTATATTAGTTACTAGAACGTCCTCTCAAATGAAATTATTTATCAAGTGAGCACTTATAGAAGCTCGTATATTTTTATAAAAATCATAATTCTGTTTAAAATTGCGAGTAAAAGTATCGTTTTCATTTCTTAATTTTAAGACTTAATAAAACTTTAAGAAATTTATCATTTGTCGAAAGATCATTTTGCTTTAACATAACTTTCGATTGCTTACTTATCAAACGAAAGATACAACTAAATATTTCAATTTTTATGCTTTTTAAAAATGTTCTCACTCTAAATTGATATTCGTAAGAATTGAAATCCTAATGAACAGATGATTTTTTTTTTTTTTTTTTTGAAAGATCTAAGAGCTTAGAGTAGGGGCGGTTGTAACGGGTAAAATAAGGCCGAGCCAACTCGATTTCCTGGTGCTATCAGGGTGCAAGAGGTAGAACCTGATTTCCACGGTAGACCATCGCGCATGGTGCAACATTTTCATCGAACTGCAGCTGTAGCGAAGGGAAAGGGTAAGGGAAAGGGTGGCCGAGAGGAGAGGGTAGCACCGAGCGTCGATGAAAAGGTCAAAGGTTCCAGGTGTGTTTGCGTTTCGTGTACTGGTGTTACAGGTGCAGCCTCTTCCGCGGCTCTGTTCGCCGTTGCATCAGCAACATGTGTGTTCTTTATTAACAACAATTAACATTTATCCATTGTTTAAAAGCTGCTGCGTTGCGTACCGTTTGACGTTTCGATCCGGCGTCACCGCGACCTGACGTTTTGGGGAAAGGGGGTCGCGCCGCGGGATAGGCCGGTAGGCCTCCGAGAAACCGTAGGCCTAAATCCTCGATTATTTATTTTTTGCAGAATTTTGCAATGGAACGTAAGTTGCAAAATGAGCTAGTCCGTGTTGTAAGCTTCGTAGACTCTGTTACACGCGGCATCTTTCGCCTTCTGTTTCCCATCATTATCAAAATATTAAATAACAAATTATTTGCCTATTTTGTTTTTCATTTTCTCGACGCACGCATGTGGTCGGTTTTACACAATAAAATTGAAATTAAATCAATTTACGTCGATTACATATTTTTAAATAATATTGCACTGTCGGTAATAAAAGTTAATTTTTTATCTAAAACTTATTATCAAAATCATATTAGGTCGGAGAACCTAAATTTTATTCCGAATGTGCCAGTGAAATAATTTTGTTCTGTCGCTCTGAAATGGGCAAGGAACAGTGATGTGCATAATGTTTTATTTATTTCTTTAATTAGTTTGTTACGCACGCGATATAATAATTTTCAATTCTTACGGTAACAAACGGTTTAACGTGCCAAACGCGTTATGGGATTGTTTGGGCTCGTTAATCTCCTACTTATTGTCGTAAATAAATCGCCGTAGATTTATCAAATCGTCTTTTTACAATCGCTGCGCTTTACAATTGTTGCGTTATACGTTCGAGTTTCAACGGAAACTTGCTTCAGTACAATCAGTTGGCCACTAAAGTTATTGGATAATAGGAGAGTATCGTGAATACCTAGTGTTTCTTTTGTTTCCTAGCCAAGTTACGCGCGTATCACTCAATGTACGCAAGATCCGTGCAATTAACAATACAAAATCGAGTGGCGTTTAATTCAACAAACGTCTTTTAAAATGTTTTATAATTTTTTGCGTTTCGTCTGCAACTGTGCATACGCAACATAAATAACAACAAATATTTCTGCGAATCGAGTCGAGTAATTTAAATTGCATTATCTCTTGGATATTTGATCCGTTACGATTATCTTTGAATTTTTCACAATTACAGTTTCTCATGCAACATGTATAATTATTACCGACACGTTTCGAATCACGTTCATGCCGGCGCGAAAACAATTTTTTTGTAACGACGGCGACTGTTGCAGCTCGGTCGACCAACGCGCGGTTTCTACTTTCCCAGTCCTAAAATTTACCAGTCTCCGGTTATGTTTGATGCACCATTATATTTCTGATTACGGTAGGTTAGTTGCATCTATGACGTCACGTCCCCGTCAGATTATGTCACGAAAGTCGTGACACGTCAGTCTTCACGGCCACGTCGATCCTCTTGAATACCTACGTACTTTGTTTCGTGTGCTACCAGTGACGTCAGTCACACGCTGTATCATCACGTGACCACATTCTTTCTCAACGTAGCCGCCAAAATGGTCGCGTTTTGTCTTCGTCGATACTTTTTACATATATATATATATATATATGTATGTATGTATGTATTCTTTTATAACAAGAATAATTTGCAAATTTACAATTTGGTCCAATACGTGACTCTGTAAGTTCCAAAATATTTGTTACTCTGCATAGTTGATTGCATTGAAAACGAAAATAACTTTGTACCATTACCTGGTCAAATCTCAGCGATAATGATTTAAAATTTACACGTGCCACGATTAGATGGAGAATAAGACCTGGTCGGCGAGAGATAACGGTAAAGTCGGGACCGAGGATAGTTTTATAACAGAGTAATAGGAATGATAGAAGTTCGTTCTCGTTTGATTGCTGTCACGATTATAATTATCGTTGGTATTTTATTTGCCGAGTGTTACAAAAAATCGATAACAAGAAGACACAAGATCGTTCTTTTCTGTAACTTTTATGACAACGTTACAAAGATGTTAATGTTAATGTGAACGAGCAGATAAAAATATTGAACTTGATGTTGTACGTTAAATAACGCACAATACGTACGTTAACGATTAGATATTATGAATATAAATAAATTAATATAATAGATAAATACAGGATAGATGGATGTAAATAAAATTATAAATATAGGATAGATGAATATAAATAAAATTATAAATAAATATAGGATAGATGGATATAAATAAAATTATAAATAAATATAGGATAGATGGATATAAATGAATATAAATAAGTAAATAAAGATAGATAGGTGCAAATAAAATAAATAGGTAAAATCAAACAGACAGAAGAAAATTTTTTTAAATTTGAAGTTATAATTAAAAAAATTAATTTTCTAAGAAGAAGAAGAATAAATAAATTTTTTCGTAAGGATATCGTATATTACAGTAAACATACGAATGAACTAACACTTGGGATTTTATATATATGTATGTATGTGTATGTATTTACAATATAATTATAAACATCGTAATATTGGAATAATTGTTATGCTATAAAATTGGTCATTGAAAACATTAACGCAATTGTCAATTCAAAATCGTGAATTGTGAGTTATTTTTGAAAGAAGTCAATTATACGAAAGTAATTTATTTAACAAAATAGGAATCTGACGGAGCAAGAAAAAGTTAATGCATTAAACTCCATTAGCTTCCTTTCAATGTTGTTTCTGTAATAAGTAGTAAGTGTAGATATTTATCACTCTCGATCTAATTGAATGCTTCTTTAAATTTTAATTATAATTCACTCTATCAAAGTGTAAATTCTAAAAACGTGTCGTTTACAATCCTCTCGGTAATAATTTCTGAAGTCTAATTTCTGTTAAATATAATTAACCCTGAATTTCGTGTGCGTAATTTAGTTTAACTTCAATTCATTTTGCCCCATTTTCCTTCTTATCAGGACCGTAACACTTGAAAGTTTAATAATGACAAAATCGTCTCTCCTTGGCTCATCCTGTACATTTGTCAACGATACCGTTCGAGAATTTCTGTCATTAATTGTCGCGTAAAATATTCAAAACCTGTTTAACAATATCTTAGTGTGTACTTTGAACTTTGTTAACGCTAGAACTGCCAAGCACTAAAGCACAGAAAAAGAATAGAAAAACTGTAAAATATACATGGAATATACAAGCTTTTATTTATGTATTTCATAAAAAAAAAATCATTTAAATCTCAAAAAAAAAAAACACTGTTTTACGTCTATCTAATATATCTAACAAAAATTACGAAATTAATCTTTTCGGTCACCTCGGTAGTTCCAGTGTTAAACAACAAAGAAAAAATATACACCAGCCGTGTCCAACCTTGGCCTGCACTATATAACCAAAATTGGAATAATTGAAACAAAAATTTTATTATTTGAATTTTAACCATGAACGTTGACGATGTTCTTTTTGGTGAGTACTTATATTTGCGAACATATTGACGAACTTGGTACGTAAGAAAACAGGCTCAGTGTTCTCCTTAAAAATTTTCATATTGTTTCAATTGACATAAATAAAATTTTCCCAATCAGTATTTTGTTTCACCATAAAAGAGGCTTTAATATCCTCACAAGTAACGTACGTTACACCGAACTGAATAAAGAAATACGTAAACTATGTACTATCCTCGACACAAATTTTTGTTAGCCAATGAAAAGATCTTAGAAATCTTAGGCTGGACACATTTTAGGTGTACACGTTTCTAGAAAAACAAACAGTCATTAAATTATAACATAGTTTACGACGGTGGTGAAGTACTGTCGGAACGTAGCTGAGAGGGCGCAGCCTCGCTGTACGCGATATCGAACACGCTCTTCTTCTCCAACAATTGCTGGTGTCGCAACCTGTTGCCACCCTGTTGCAACGACACGGCTATTCCAGAGTCGAAATCGTCGCTGGTACGGTGTTCCACCGTTGGCGGAATTTCAAAGTGTTCCGGCGACAGCTGCGGGGACGGATGAGGAGCCGGTGGAGGATGAAGATAAAACGGTACGGGCATCTTTTCGTACTTGTACTCGGAGTGCTGCAGCAAGTGATGTTTAGGATCTTGCGGGACCGCAGGCGGCGTCGTCGCGAATATTTGAACCGGTGGATCCTCGTTTTTCCCGCCCTCGGCTCTCCTTAATTTCCTCCCTTGGCGAACTATGGCCTTCAACTGTTCAGACTCGACGTTCACCAAGGGTTTGATCTTGCGTCTCGTTCGCGGGGTCGTGTCACCAATTTTCTGGCTCGACTTTTCTACCTTTCTATCCTCCTTTTCAGATGTTTGATTTCTCATGCTCCTTCGTAACCATCGAGGCAGCTGCTCCTCGTCGTCGGTGGCCAGCAACTCGGCCCGTTTCCTCTCCATTTCTTCTCGGTTCTTCTTGTACCAAGCCATGTACTTCGGCTGAGCCTTGCTCGTGCCGATCTCGCCGGTTTTCGGCGGCGTTGGATACTTCTCGCTGCTGCTCGGCGACTTCTTCTCCCTCTCAGCTTTCAATCTCGACAGGGATCGCTTTCGCTCGTCCCTCTTTTCCGATTGTTTCGTTTGGCCGACGCTTTGACCCTTTTGCCTCGGCTGGTCTTCTGGCAGCTTTCTGCGCGTTCGGTGTCCAGCTACGTCGTAGGAGCGAGCTGCTTTCTCCTCCGAAGACTCCTCGGAGGAACTTTTCTTCTTTCTCTGCGTGATCACCCGTTTCCTTCCCAGCTCTTTCACTCTTCTGTCTATAACTTTGAAAGTCTCGGTTTTCGCCAGCTTGGAAGCCAAAGTTGACGAACCATCCTGTCTGTCAGCTTTAATTCCAGGCTTCGTTCTCGAATCTTTCAGCGGTTCATCCTTTCCAGCGGTCGACGATCCTTTATCCGTCGCTGAATCACATTCGAATTCCACTTGCTCCTCTTTCTCTATATTTTCCATAGCTGTTTCTTTGTCTTCTGTATCTGTTTCCCTTAATGCTAATTCTTCTTCCGTTTCTTTGTATTCCTCGCTCAGTTTCGCCGGAGAAGATCGTTCCATGCTCGTATCCTCGATTATCCGAAACGAGTCCTCGTCTTCCGTCTCTCCGTCTTTTCGCGCCTCGGTTAGCTCGTCCACTCGGCTAGTTTCTTTCTCGGAGAGTCGCCGGGCACGATGTCGCGGCGTCTGGTACGGTCTGGTTGTTAACGTTGTCTTCCTGGAAACATCACTCGATGAATCACTGTCCTCAGACTCATCCGCCGTATCTATCGCGCTCGTAAAAAGTGGAAGGCTTACGTCTGTCGATTGTCCTTCGAGAAAAACGAACCCGGGTCTCTCCTCCTTCTCTTCCTTCGCCAGCGACGTTTCGTCCGTTCTCAGCACAATCGGATCGTGCTTATTATCCGATTCCCAGCCGGCAGTCCCAGGTACGTCAGACACCATCGTACTTGGCCACTTCCCCGGAAACGTTGTCACTCCACCAACATCGCCTCCCTCCGTCGCCGCAAAACTTTCTCCCCCAACGAATTGCTCCACTTCTTGTAACTCGGTTTGCTCGCTCTCCGACTTCAATTGCTTCCCGGATTCGGACGTTCCCCCCGAATCTGTCGTAACTTCCGACATAATGGAATCAGGCGCAAACTTCTCTTTCTCTTCCCTCGCGTACGTCTGTCGCGGCCGAGTTCCACCCTCGCTCGCTTCGCTCGGCGACTGCACCACCCCTTTCCCGGCGGTTCGTGCTAATTTCTCATCTACCGTTTCATTATCCTCGGCAACTTTCTCCGCCGGCTTTTCTTCCCGCAGCTCCTTCGCTACCGTGTCCTTTATCTCGTCGTCCATCGATGATTCGCTAATTTCTCGTTCGTCAGTCGACACCAGTCCATTCTCGTCGGATTTCTCCTTCGTATCCTTTGTCGAACTAGTTGCTACTTTGTTATTGCCTGTCAAGTCGATACTTTTACCTTCTTCCGTGTCTTCTTTCACCTTTCCTTGGTCCAACGATGTCACGGGGCCGCCATTTATTCGGGAAGTTGAAGGTTTCTCTCTTTCGGAAAATGCTGCCTCTGTTTCAGAGCTCGGTGTTTTGCCATTCGTCGATGTGTCGATTAACGAGTGAACGACTTTGAACGCTCCTGAAAAAACACTGTCTCTTTTAATGTGATCGTCTGTACCTGGTACTTTCATTGGTGTTTCCTCTTTTACGTCGTCACTGATCGACACGGGAGTTTCTATTAAAACTTTTGTCACCTCTTCGTCTTGCTTCTCACGATGACTGGTTGACATTTTTAACGAATCGTCTTTTTCCTCTTCGTCATTTTTGCGAATCGTCGACGTGTGATCCTTCTCCTCAGTCAGAAGTTGCTGTTCGATATCTGCAGTTTTCTCGTCACTGACTCGATCCTCGTCAGTTTCTCGTGTTCCTTTGCTAGTTTCTTTTTCTCGAGTCCGATGGTCACTAGTTTTTTCAGTCAGTTTTTCTTCTTTATCGTCGACAGCACTCGCTTCCTTTCCTTCCTTTTCTCTGCTTGCTCCTTTCTTTTCTACAATTACCATCTCTTTTTCTTTGCCAGTAGAAACATCTCCTTTACCAACTTCGCGATCGCCAGTAACAACTTGTTCTTCTTTTTTCGTGGAAATTCCCTTTCCATTGGGAGAACTTTTTTTCTTTTGACTTTCTTGATCATTTGATCTCGCGTCTGCAGCATCGGATCGTTCTACTTTGTCTAAAGAAACAGTTTCTCCTTCGGTATCAATCCCTGTCCAAATTGTCCTTTCTTCGTCGAATATTTTTTCCCTTTCGATGAAGTCGATGGTTTTTGCTACAATGCCAAGATGGCCAGCAGTTGCATCATCTTCAGACGACGTTCTTTCAGTTGTTTGATAATCTTCTTTTTCAACACTTTGTTCTTCATTGGTCGTTTCGATAATTTCACGTTCTGCAGACAGTTCTTCAGCAATTTTATCACCGTTTCTCGTTTCTTTAGTTGTTTCTTCGGTAATCTTTCTATCCGCAGTCGCTTCCTTGGAAATTCTAAACTCCTCCGTGACTTTTTCGTCAGCTTTTTCATCTTCGCTTGTCTTCAAGTCTTTAGTGACTTGTCGATCTCTGGTTGATTCTGTGGCAATTTTCTCCAACGTTTCTTCGCCAGTTATTTCAACTGTTTCCTCAGAATCTTCAACTGTGTCTCTTGCAACGACCACTTTTTCCTCGTCGCCAATACTCTTTTCTTTATCCCTGAAAGTAGATCTCATTTTTTCAACGTCTTCGTCCTCGTACTTTTCCCGCTCGTCTAGAAGAACATCTCCTTCAACTTTCCCGTCGTAAGTTTCTTTCTCGTACTCGTACGGGACTTTTATTGCATTTAAGTCGATCTTTCCTTCATCTCGAACATTGAATTCAATTTCCTTCTCCTCCGTGGCAACGTAATCTGACGTTGGAACATCTTTCGTGTGTGCTATTTGTTTCTCCTCTTCTCGATCAGTTTCGTTTATTTCTATTTCTTTTTTCCTACATACTTCCGAGTCACCAGTCGTACCATCGCTCGATATTTCAGTTTCTGCATATTTTTCAGGTTCTTCGATTTTCTTTATTCGTTCTTCCTCTTTGCTCACGTGATCTTTGACTTCAGGCTCTGTCTCTGCCTTTCCCTTCACGTCAGCTTCGTCCAGCATAATTTCCTTATCTTTATCAACATAATCTGGCGATATATGCGCGTTCTTTTCTCCTGTCGGAGTCTCTCGTGCTTTGTAAGCTGCCTCTGTCTCGTTAAGCCCTTCCAAAGCGACACTTTCTCTGAATCCAAGATCTTTCGAAAGTTTTTTCATTTTCTCTTCTTCTCGTTCCTTCTCTTTCAACCATCCATCTGTAGCTGTAATTTCAAACCGCTTCCCAAACTCCTCATCCAACGATTCGCCCTTCGCTTTGTAATCTCTTTGTACATGGCGAGCCACGTCTCTTTCAGTCTCGCTCATCGATTTATCTATCCCCGCGATTTCTTCTTTTTTCGTCACCATTTCGTCGGTGTGCTTTACACTCTCCGTAGATTCTGTCCCCCACGAAGTTTTATCGATCCGTCGATCTCGAGCTGTTCGTGTCTCTTTCTTAGTTGAACCTGTAATTAATTGCCCCTCGGCGCGAGTCGCAGCGTCATCGATCGCTCTCTTTGTACTCGCATCTTTCGACAAACCCGTCGCAAATTTGTCAAACGAATCCTGCGTCCTCGGTTCAGTTTCCGACACCTTTTTCTCTTCTGTCGCAGCAGAGATTTCTGTCTTTGGTTCCTCGACAAAGTCGTCGCTGAACTTTTGCGGAATTGTTTTCTTCGGCAAAGTTTCCGCCTCGCGTCGACGCATAGTGGAATCACCTCTTCGATTCGACGCGTACGAATCTCCCTCCGATAGATCGGTGCTGCTCTTCTTCGCGAGGTCTCGCGTAGGGAACGTGCCACCTTCGTCTTTCTTCTCCTCGGTGGCGCTGGTGCTGGTTTCCTCGCTCACGTTCTGCTTGCGTGACACAACAGCCAGTTTCGGTGCTCTCGTCGTCGTCGTCGTCGTCGTCGTCTTGACGAGTTTGTCAGACTTTGGCTCCATTTTCAGAGTGTCGTTCGAGGCAGCTTCTCTTCGTTTTTCAACCTCTTCGTCTCGATACTCGGGTAGCGTGCTCTGTCTCTTCGATTCTCGTCGATCGACTTGCGCCTGACGTTTCACCTTCGCGTGGCTCTGGCCGCCGATCGGTGGTCTCTGTTTCACGATCGATTTCTTCGGTTTGTCGAGGCCGTCGTCCAACTCCGAACTCCCCGTGCTCATCACCTGATGACTCTGCTGATACTTCAGCTTCTGTTTCGTCTTGGCAATCGCCGAGTCTTTCCTCTGTTTGCCCTTTTGCTCCGCTTTCAACGCGCTCGCACACTCGGCCGTTTGTTTCTGCGAGCTCGAGGAATCCGTCTTTTTCGCGAACGAGCGCTCCGACTTCTCGTCGGTGCTGCCAGTGCTCTCCTGAAACTTCCTCCTCTCGCCCAGCTTGCTCAGTTTCTTCGTCAGCATCGTGAACTCCTTCTCGAGGATCCGGAAACTCGGCTTTGTCGCGCCGTCCGTTCTCCTCTGCGTCTTCTTCGATCTCGCCTCCTTTCGCGGACTCTTCTCGCGTCTCTCCCGTTGATCTTTGACCTCCGACGATGAAGCAGACTGGTCACCGGCGGCGTTCACCTTTCGATCGTCCCCGCAGCTTTCCCGACGTTTCTCCTCGCTCGACTGCGAGCCGCTCTCCTTCTCGTTCAATATCTTGTAACTGATGCTGGTCTGCTCGGTTCTCTTCTGGTAGCTGCGCCTCGTCGTCTCGTTCTCCTCGCCCTTGCACGAGCTCCCGTTCCCGTCCAACGAGTCCGAGATCTCCCGCAGCACGCCGGGCTCCAGCGAGATCTTCCTGCCCTCCTTCACCTCTCTCACCTTCTTCCTCAGGATGCTGAGACGCTTGTCGAAGCAAGGGCTCCTCCTCGCCTCCTCCTCGATCGGCGAGGACTTGGTCCACGGCGCTCGGCACCGTCTCCAATCCCCGTCGCCGTACCTCTTCCTCGATTTCAATCTCCTTCTATGTCTAGACTCTTCGTTGTCGGACTCGTCGTTGTCGCTTCTGCTCTTCGCCTGACGCTCCGTCTGCGTGGCCGCTGTCCTGTCGGTCTGAGTGGCGATCGCCACCTGCCCGGGCAGGCTCTGGGTCTCCAGGTAACTGGTCGAGTCCATCCCGCCACCTCCTGCTCGACGACTCTCCCTCTCGAGCAGCAACCGGGTCAACAATGCGTTCTGTCGAGCCAATTCCAAATCGTGGAACGAGTACCGTGCGTCGTCCGGCGGTTGGACTCGCTGCTCTTTGACGGGAATGTCAGGAATCGGCGGCTTGTCAGAGATCGGCACGTCGGCATTCTCTTGCTTCCCCCGCATTTCAGACTCTCTCTCTGCCGTCTTTTGCGAGCTGTAATCACCGTGGTCGATCACGAGCCTCTGCACGGTCGGCCCTATCTCTTCGAGGGAGGACAGCTGGTGCTGCCTGTGACGACCGTGATGGTCCAGTCTCTCCGGTATCAGGATTATCTCCGGCGGTTGTTGCTGTTGGCATACTTCTTTCGATCTCTGGTGCGATTCCATGCTACGAGCTGCCTCGATGTCCTGCATCGACAACTCGTGCCTTGACTTCTGGTCTTCGATGAATCTTTGCAGAATTATGTCCTTACCATCAACGATCATGGCCGTCGGCCGGTGATGGTGCGACGCTTGACGATGAAGATGGCTCGTGTCTTCCAGCTGTCCACGCGTCACCAATCGCAGCACCTCGGCGTTACCTTCGCGGTAAAAGTGTTGCTCTCTGACCGTTGGCTCCTCGCTGTTCACGTCGGGCTCCATGAATCTACGGTGGCAGTCTGTCAGATGAGACTAAACTAAACTAGACCACCCAGACGAAACGAGAGACCGAACGTCTCTCTACGTACCTTTGTCTGTAAGCTTGGTGTTGCAAGTCGGAGCCTCTCTCCACCTCGTGCCGCTGCAGGGAATCCAACTCGGCGGTACGATAACCTCTCCTAGCTTTTTGCTCCTCCACGTCTTCCATGTACATTCTCTCTTGCTCGTTCATTCTGCTTCTTCTCGAGTGATCGTACCTCGAGGCGCCGTCCCTCAGTCGTTGTTGTTGAGCCTCGATCGTCATCCGAAGGTCGCTCGGCTGACGTAGCTCGGAAGCGACGTAGGCAACGTCGCCAGGCAGCGAGCAGTTCTTCACGTTCCTCTTATTGAACTGCCAGTTCCTCCTAGTCGGGTCGGCGCTCCACGCCTGCTTCCTCCCATTCCACGACACTGAGATTTTTCACAACGACACGTGATGATTTTCATTCAGTCGTTTAACAACTGACGACAGGTTGAAATTTTATACAGTGGGTGTAAAAAGTATTCGTACAGTGTACTAATCACGACGAAAATGCTGAATAATAATATTTATTAAACGTAATATTTTTTAAACGTGGTACATCTATTCTCCAAAGTCTCTAGAGCAACAATATCAAACAAACAAAAAAAGTATTCATATTGTTTATGCGAATATCAAGAAAAATGAACAGTAAACATGTGACGAGCTCAAACAATAAATCCTAAAAATCCAGTTCTTGATATTGCATAAATTATTCGTAAATTTGCAAAAATTTCTTTTTTTCTCCCTCTTTCGTTTGTAATAATTTGTGAAATTAACGTAGACAAGAGTTGACAAGTTGAAAGACAGAGCTCACCTTCGGCGGCTATTGCCGGTTGCCGATGAAGATGTCGCTTTGGTCTGCCAAAGTCTGATCGTACGACCAACGTTTCCGAGGAATGTACCCGTCTTTTCCTGGGTGCCATGTAAAACGGACATCCAGGGCATATGCAACAGATAATCAACGCGGCAATTGCCAAAAGCATGAGTAAACCCAAAATTACCAGAAGCCAGATTAATAATTTGTTTTCTGCTTTGTACACCGTCTAAAACACATATTTGTCAGAAATTTAATTTCCGAAACGTTTCCCGATTTCCACCGTCGTTGAATACGTACCACTTCTTCGCTATGAACATGTGTAATAGTATTGTTAACAAGTGTCGTTTGACCGTCATTGACACGGGGAGTTCCAACGACAGGTGGAGGATTCGTATTTTCCACGTGCATGGTCGTGTTCATAATCGCGTTACCGCCAATGATCCCGACTCCGTTCGCGGCCAGAGCTTCTCGAATCTTTTCAACGTCAACCAGAGACGTGCCTGGTTCCGTTTGCTCGACGCGCGCCACGACAATGCTCCTAGAAAAAGTATCGAATTGCAGATGTCTAGTGTCTAATTAATATTGGTCTCGATCATATTATACAGGTTGTCAAATATCAATTTTCAGCTGTTTTTAGTTTCTATTTTTGATCATAAGTCTTTTTGTAATTGAACGGCCTCTAAACTGTAATTTACTTTCTTGAAATACAGTGTACTATAGTTACATTTCTATAATGGGATTTTGTCGTATCATTATAAAAAAAAAGTGAAGCTAGAGGACTGTTGGTTTGGTTTTTTTCTTTAGAAAAAAGTTGATCCATCGTGAAATTATAATAGTTGGTAAATATTATTTTAGAGAATCTCATCAGAGGAAATCAGAGAGTGTTTCTTTGTCTCGCTGCTGAATAGAGTATGAATAGAATAGAAATTGACTCGTATTTTCAGCTTCACGAGAAGATGATTTTTTGAACAAATCGAGAAGTATATTTCATAGAGATGAGAGATATTATTATTATATATTATTAGAGATTAACCTACAGTTCAATAATAGACTAAAAATTGTACTCAAAGTATGTATTTTATGTATAATATTACATAAAATCCTGGAACAATACTGATGAGATGGCCTTTCATTACTTATTTTGTTTCGAAAATCTGTAATTATTTTTTAATTTTCTGTTCGTAACCTCACAACTTTATACGTATCTACTTTCACAAAGTGAAATAAATATATAAATATAAGTATATATATAGTAAAAAAAGAAATATATATATATATATATATATTTGTGAAAATAGATACGAATAAATTTACTATGTTACAAACAGAAAATTAAGAAATAATGACAGATTTGAAACAATATATATTGATTATATTTAATATGTAAAAATTCTTCCAAAACTATGTAATAATTTTTCAGAAACCATTATGCAACATTTGACTACCTATTCTCCTTCAAGCTCTTTCAAACAAATAAATAAAAACTGAACGTTAAAATTTAGAATCCTTCAAATTCGCTACTCGACTCGATTATTATTGAATCTTTCGTCGATCGATGGACGAAATACATAAAAAAAAAAAAAAAAAACAGTCGTATTAAATCGTATAATAGTTAATTGCCAAATATTGATAGATCACTAACTTTTTTCCTCCTCCAGACGGAATCCCTGTACTCCCAGTGTAATTCTGTTGAATGTAAGGTCGTGTTTCCAACACGGTGACTCGACCACCTGTAATGGCAGCTAAAGTTTCGGCAGTCTTGGTCGAGTCTGGCTGCTCTCCTGGCACTACGAACATCATTATGCGTGCCTCCATCGCGGCCCCACTGAGAATTCGTATTTTCGCCACGCTCGAAAGATGCGGCACACCTGCAACGATACACATCGTTCACACTAAATTAGATTCACGTCACAAGCAATAAATTCAATAAATTCAACTGCTCTTCTCGGACTACCAGGGAACGAATCTTCGATTAACTTTTCATCAATAAATTTACCTAGATCGTATGCTCTGGCAGTGAGAGTATAGAGTGCATCAGGCTTGTCAGCTCGTCTCCGTCGTTTCTTCGCGACCACCTTCGTCAAATTTCCCGCGTTGCTTCCATTTCGATTATTCGTCGACGATTCGTCGACATCGACGTTCGCAGTTACAAATGTCAACAAATCGCTCCGCGTCTCTCGTTGATCCTTGGTCAATTTCGTTGCAACTTTCCTCGAGTACGAGCTCTGCTTCTTTCGCCTGATTTTCGTTATGGGCGACAGAAGCGTCAGTTCGCCGCTCGTTTCGTTCAGGTGGAATTTGTTCTCGTAATTCCCGTGAATTAATTCGTATCTGACCACGTTGTTCGGTGGCTCCGCGTCGTCGTCGATCGCCTGTCAACGGTTAGAAGACTCTCTTGACTCTCTCTCAGATGTTGAAGAACGAAATTTCTTGGTAGAATTGGTAGAATTGATGCTAAGTCTCATCGACACTTCATTATATATCTATTTCTATCAAGATGATCGGTTCTTAAAGAAAGTAATATTTCTTATACTTGAATGAACCATTTCTAGAAATAAATATAATATTTAATATTCGCCTAAATAAGCTAAATATTCGGCTTGACATTTCCAGGATAAATGTAAATAACTTATGAAATACATAGTATTGCGGATTTATTTATTTTCTTTTTTTTAAATTTGCACTTGTCACTTGAATTGCAAAGGAAACAATTTGGAACTTTTATATTCTGAGAGTGATGCTCTCTCTTTTATACTGAAGTTATGAAATGTGCACCCAAATCTGCGTGTATTCTTGCAACAAAACATTCTTATTAACGTTCATTCACGTGCCTAATTTGATAGCGCCTCTATACTACTTTCTCATGAACCGATTGCGCGGTTTTAGAAAAATAAACATCATAAATTTTTCGACCGGTTAAATTGAGAACAGGCTGCGTATATTTCTCGAAGGGAAAAATAAGAAAACAAGTAAAGATAAATAGCGATGTGATAACATTGTATGTAGGAAATTGTAGCCAAACGTTTGAAAACAGTCCAAAATTTGACCAGTGGTGGTTTAGTGTTGAGATAATTATATTTATATGATATTATAATATATTATATAATATATTAATATTATATAATATAATATTATAATATATTATTATATTATACTATATTATATAATATAGTCGATGTACCTTTATCAAAGCCGGGGACGTGAAGTTAGTCAGGTCAGAGTTCAACATAAACTCGTAGACGTCCCTTTCGAACCTCGGCGCGTTGTCGTTGACGTCAATTAGGTTGACTATCAAAGGAACAACGCCGCTATTCCCGTTACCATTTTCGTCTCGAGCCTCGATGGTTAGTAAGAGCGTCGCTGCGACCTCACGATCCAACGAAGAGCCCATAGCGACAGTTATGAACCCCGTGTGAGGGTCCATGATGAAAGCTTCGCTGCCTTCTCCAGCTATACTTGTGTATCGGATACTCCCGTAAACGCCTGTGTCTTTGTCAGTCGCGTGCACCTGCACGGAATAATTCACGCGCGAAGAAGAAAAAAGATATTAATATACAATATATAAATACAATACGTAAATATTACAATATATTTAAATATCAACAATTATATGACGTAATAATTATCTTATTTATTATTTAGAAATTTTAGAATTTTAGAAATACCAAACGCACTAAACACTACCGACATTTTACGTATACGTATTTCTATCCTAACTGGTCAAAATAATACTAACTAATAATTAATAATAACAAATAACTAATAATGACTAATAATACTAACTAATAACTAATAATAACTAATAATAATAACTAATAACTAATGATAACTAATAATACTAACTAATAACTAATGATAACTAATAATACTAACTAATAACTAATGATTAATAATATTAACTAATAACTAATAATGACTAATAATAATAATAACAATAATAATAATAATAACTAATAATGACTAATAATAATAACTAACAATACTGACTAATAACTAATAATGACTAATACTAACTAATAACTAATAACTAATAATGACTAATAATACTAACTAATAACTAATAACTAATAATGACTAATAATACTAACTAATAACTAATAACTAATAATGACTAATAATACTAACTAATAACTAATAACTAATAATGACTAATAATACTAACTAATAACTAATAACTAATAATGACTAATAATACTAACTAATAACTAATAACTAATAATGACTAATAATACTAACTAATAACTAATGATAACTAATAATGCTAACTAATAACTAAATAAATAATAATACTAAATAATAACTAATAATACTATATTTAATATACATGAAACAAGCATAACACAGAATAAATTTTAGATAGGGAGAGGTATCACATATTTTCATTTTTTTTTTTTTTTTTATATATTAAAGTTAAACGAACGAAGGAAATGAATGAACACAGAATTTGAAGTTAAATCTTTAAACCGTTTCGGTCATTTGACCGGACTGTTTAGTCTAATTGTTACGTAACACCACGTAACAATCTGTCGTTTCACCTGAATCACGCGCGAGCCTGCGGTTACGTTCTCGGACAACGTTACTTCGTACGACTCGTCGTCGAATATCGGCGGATTGTCGTTAACGTCTCTTAGGTAGATAGTGGCCGGCACCGATGCCGACAGGTTCGTGGCTGGGCCAACCTCCTGTGCCACGATCTAGATTCAATGAAACTTTCATTAATCGAAATCACATCGTCGGCACGTAAAGATTTACATTCACCTTGAACGACAGAACTTTGTATCGTTCGTAATCGATGAACGCGTTGTCTCGAACTGTCACGATGAAATCCGCGGTACGTTCCGCCACCGTTGGACTTATCTCGAACGTGTTGTTGTTGTTCTCTAATTTCAACGCGAACACCCCGGCTTTCCCGATGTCCTCGTCCTTCACTCTGGCCGAATATTGCTCGCCGAAATTGATCACGGTCCCCGGTTCCGGATTCTCGTCTATCGTCGCGATGTAACTGTAACAGAAAGAAAAAAAGAAAACAAATGCGAATTGTATTACACGGTTGTACATTGAAACACGTCCCACGCAATTATCTCTTAAATGTAAGAGAAAATGTCTAAATCTCACGTATTCGTTGTAGAAGAAATGTTTCAAGGTCGGTTGTACCATGACTTCACGATTTCCACACTGTATAATTTCGTCGAAGAAAACGAAGATAAGAGAATAACACGTTTGCCTGCACATGATTTATGATCATCCTAGCGTCAAACAAATTGAATTTTACATTACTTGAAACCACCAATTTTTTTTTTCACAACGGATAGTTTAGTTTGATTAATTTTCTAATTAATTATTTTTTTTAAAAACGTCTCTTTTTAATGTTTCTTTCAAAAGTCGTTCTCATTTCTTATCTAAGAGACGTGTATTTTTTTCTGTTGCATCACGTAGCTCGTGAAAAGATACATTCAGATACATTCCTTCGACTTTACAATTTTTAAATCAAAGTGAAACTTATGTTTAGCGATGTACTCTATATATATATATATATATATAGGAAATAATGCGTGAGACACTTTAAATAAGACACCCCGTATAATCTAATAGTTTTGCAACTGCCAAAGAAATGGAAATTATATTCACGTCTCAGGTACCAACTTATCGCTCTCGAAGTATGGCGGGCTGTTCCCCGGCTCCCCGAGGAGAAAACCAACGTCAACAACCGTCGCTTGGGCAGGAGGTTCTTCTCTGCTTCTTCTTATCTCTTCAGCAACCACCGTGAGAACAACGGGCGCTCCGACGTGCGTGATTTGGGTGAGTTCCTCCAAAGGTCTTGCAAGGCTGATTTCACCTATCGACCATATCGAGATTTGAAATTTAGATTACCTCTGAAAAGAAATTTAGATTAGTCTCTGAAGGGTTCAACTAATTTCAAGTCCGTTTTTTCGACCCATTGCTGAAAAAAAAAAAAACAGATCGCCAAGGACTAAACGTTTTTACTCGCGCGTACCGTACTAGGCAACACAAGTTGTGGTGACGAGTCGAATTACTTTTATTAAGAATTATGAATAAAACATTTCGGTCAATGATCCCTGTTACTTATGCGCAAGGCGTGCAAGGCACGCACGTGTTCAATGATGGAAATTTTCCATAACGCGTCACGGAAAGGAGTTTAGCGAATGGAATTGCTCTCATTAACATACACCACCTTCTCCTACAGTTTCGTAGCTGTCTTCTTCTCATTCACACTGCATTACCTACGTAATTTCGGTTTCAAAGCGACGTCGATAATATAAGTGGCTAAACGCACCATAAGAATCGATAATCGTTTCACCATTCTAAACGTAAATGTGTTCTTAATATCCTTTTCTTAATATATTCTTAATTTTGAAATTTTGTACTTGAAACTTATCATCGCTCTCACTAACATGTGTGTATTAGCTCATTCACACTAACGCAATTTCAGTTTCAAAGCGGCCACTTCGATTATGATCGTGGCTAAAAACCACAAAAATCGATAATTATTTCAATATTCTAAACCAGAGCTAACTGGCGACTCGCGAACCCTTTCCTGGATCGCTAGCGCTACCCCCTCCACTGCATTGACTGTCTATTTGCTTGATAGTGGAGGGGATAGCGCTAGCGATGAGAAAAGTAGGGGCAAGGGCCGCCAGTTAGCCACCTCTGTCCTAAACCATATTTTTAATATTCTTACATGTTCATTTTCACATGTTATAATTGAAGCTGGCGAATGAAATTGCTGGCATTACCTCCTCATTTCTGTCTTGTTCTCATTCATACTAAATTACCTACGAAACTTCAGTTTCAAAGCAATTCGTCAATTATAATTGCCAAGAATCATTCCAAAATTCTAAACCATATATTCTTAATACTCTTCAAGTTTCACAATTTGAAAACAGAGTCCAATACCGATATATAATTGAACAAGTAGCCGTGGTAATAAACAGGTACGTGTCTGGCAACTATAGTTAAACAGTCAACGTCCCTCCCCTTATCAACGTCCACTTCCTCCGGCAGCGCGTAAAATTACAGCCGCCCGTCGTTTATGTTTCGAGAGCACAATACTCCTTTATCTTTTATATTCCTTCTGGCCCCGTCCGTTTCTTTTTTCTTTCTTTTTTTCTTTCCTTTTTTTTTCCACCGGCTTTCCCCGGCAGCCACGTCTACACACGCGGCCGTATACGAAGAGGTCGCATGCTTCGTGTCACGAAATGATAAGCATCGCAGCCTGAAAAGCAGAGACTGACCCCTAAGTGCGATCGATACCGCGCTGTAGACCGCCCAAGACTTTCCTCCGAGCAAGTGGCCACTTCCATCGAGTTCTGGCCACTTGCTCGCCTGACTCGTTTTTGGTTCCGCGGGGAGGGGAAAAAAAAGAATCCATATCGTCAATCTTAGACGTTAGATAACACGTGTGTATTTCGTGCGATCGTCCGGTGAACGAGTATGAAGTTGCCTCGTCGTTTCACGGCCCTTTGCGTTGCCGTTTTCCTTACACGACGGTGCGGAATATGCACACTACGTAAATTACTTGAAAACTGCTGACTCTTTCAGCATGTTTTGTAAACACTACGTGAGGATTGCAAAAGAAAAGTCCATAATGTTCTTATTATTATCATCAAAGACTGACTACGCCGAGAGTACGGCGTAGAAAAGAAGAGTATGACGAATTTTTTCAAAGTCTCTCTATAAAGAAATCGAAATCCCTCTATATAAGATTGACTCTTATTGATCAGTGTTGCGCTTTTCTCGTAATGGAATTTCTGCCAGCAGACACCAACGTGCAACGGTTTCATTTATTTTTCACCGCGCAGGAATTGCATACGTAATCTTCTTTCCCGTGTGCGCGTTCAAGCGTATGAATCATTCCCTCACGCTTTAACGCTGGAAACAGGGGTGGTAAATTAATTTGAAATCCAACTCGTCGAGTGGATAATTCCTGAGGAATCGGGAATTAGGTCATTCGACTTAGGTGTATACGTCCGTAAACCTCAGGAAATCACCCGCTACGAATTATTTGTGATTCCAACCAACGTTTTGATGAATTTGTGAACGTCGATCAATGCGTAACGTGAAACTTCAATGAAATTTCTAGTAAGATAAAATGATTAATAAGATTCATATGCCGTTGTGTGATTTTGAACTGAGAGAAAGTGGCATAATATAATTTCTCAAGTAGTTTCTCTTTAAAATCGTGATATAATAGGGATACCCATGAGTAATAATAATAAACATTGCTTTCGAGTAACAATAATTTAACTTATTATAATATATATTCAAATTAAATATATCGATATATAATTTAACATATTGTTTACATAAAAATTACATAAAAAATAAACATATTGTTTACATTAAATTACATAAAAAATAAAATGAAATAAATTTCTGTCATATTGTTAAATCACGTAAAAAATTTAATAAAATAAAATAAATCTCTTAAATAAAATAAAATTCTGTACAGTATCATATTGTTAAATTATATAAAAAATTAATTGAAATAAATTTCTGTCATATTGTTAAATTATACAAAAAATTTAATAAAATGAAGTAAATCTCTTAAATAAAATAAAATTCTGTGCAGTATCATATTGTTAAATTATATAAGAAATAAAATGAAATAAATTTCTGTCATATTGTTAAATTATAACGAAAAATTTAATAAAATGAAGTAAATCTCTTAAATAAAATAAAATTTTGTACAGTATCAAAAAACGACGTTACTTATGACCATTCCCAATATATTCTCACCGTTTGTTTCCGAGATGTTGAAAAAGGGCGTGAAGGGATTGCCCTCAGACACGAGACCGTACACGATTTCACGCGGCACACCTTTGTCCCCGTCCTCGGCGTGCACTCGCAGTACTATATCACCCTGAAATCAATGCAATATAAATTTACATCGAAAAAGTCATACTATAAAAAATAGATTTCTTTTTTTTTTTTTTTGCTTTGAAAGAAACTCACAGGTTGTACAGAGTTGTTGATCTTCGTGAGGGGTGGAGCCAGTGTGAAAATCGGGGGAACATCTTGAACGTCTCGTACGATCACGACGACGCTCAAACCAGCGATGTTTCTAGTGTCTTTTCCCTGCTCGGTGTACGGATCCTAGCATAAACGAACCGTTTTGTTTAAACTTTCTGCCAGGAGGTAGTCGAGAAGTCACGATAATTGTTCAGAATCTTGCATACCGTAGCATACATGGTGAGGGTGTACATGGATTGCGTTTCGAAGTCTAGCTCTCCGGTTAACACAATTGTTCCCCGCGTTTGCGTGGGTGTCTGCCGTTGCCTTATCGTGAAAAGCTCTTTCGGTTGCTACAAAGACGACAATTAATTGTAGTGCGGCGTAGTACGACTACGGTTTGGATGATATGTAAACGACGTATATGTATATTTCTTTTTCACATATATTTCATTTTTATCTTATTATTTTAATATATATATTTCATTTTTATTTTATTTTCCTAATATATATATAAAAATATATATATATATTTATTTTATTTACCTTATATATATATATATATATATATGGAAATAAGAAATATATATATTAAAAAAATAAAACAAAAATGAAATATATATGTATACTAAAAAAATAAAATAAAAATGAAGTATATATATATATATATATTTATATATTTATATATATACTTTATCATTATTTTATTTTTTTAGTATACACATATATTTCATTTTTGTTTTATTTTTTTAATATATATACTTCATTTTTATTTTATTTTCTTAATATATGTATTTCACTTTTATTTTATTTTACATTTATTATACATATTTTCTCAATATTATTCGTTGCTCTATATCTAAGAAAATATTGTAATTTGAGTGACTCACCCAGAGCTCTATATAAACCGGTTTTCCACTCCAAGAATTAGCCCTTACAAGAAGATAATCTAATTCTTTACCAGGCTTGGTGTCCTGCGCAAAATAATTTCGCAACATTGATATTGTCACAATTCGTGATTTACGAGCGAGAAGGTGTCTCTTTCAACAAATGACTGTAGTATCAATGAGATCTGATTTGTTCGAGAGAAACTGCTAACGCGTCGAATGGTAGCGCTAATCTAAACAACTGAACGAATGATTACCTCGGGTACCATTATCAGCGAGGGTATGTGCGGGAATATTTTGTCACGGGGGGTGGTCGCGTTCGTAACAGAAATGGTGGCTTGCATCGAGTTCGAGTCTCCCTTCGTGTCTCGGACCCTCACTGCAAAATCGTGAAGGCGTCCGGCAACTAGTCGTTTCGTTAGAATCACATTGGCCTGGCACACTTTGTTGTACAGCGTGCACGGTAGGTTGTCGATCCTCACAACAGGTGTGATGGTAGCTGAAGAGATGGAAAACGAAAAAGAAAGAAATTCACTCGATGCGACGCGCGCGCTTCGTTCTGAATTTTCTGAAAAGCAATTGCTCGTGAAAACTGTTACCGGTTACTTCGAAAACGAGCGGGAAATCTGCATCCTGGTCGGTGGCGCGAAGTCGAAAAATGACGGAGTCTACCTCAGCATCCGCTGGAACTAGAACCAACCCCATGTCCGCGGATGTGTCAAAGCGTGGACGTGCACCCTTTGCCCACGCGAAAACGAATCCGAAATAAATCCATACTTTGCACCATTCCCCTGCAAAGGGCATTCTGCGAACAGCCAACCGATTTTTCAACAATCCTGTCGTCAATCAATACACTGAAAGGCTCTCAATTTTAGGTGATTCTAAATGAATTATAATTCAAAGTAAATGAAATGATAAGATGTATGATTCTCCAAACGTGAAAGAAGAGTGAAGAAATTTAACACTGATTATTTATTGGAACTATCGTTATTGAAGTTTTATAAATAATCGTGCAATTTTATTATTTTTCACGCTGTAACCAAACGTTATGATTTTCCACGAGTGCTTATTTTTGTCAGAATTAATATCAATTTCTGTAGAAACGTAATTGTACAAATCCATTTATTTTAACTGTACTATATTAATTATCCATAGTATAAATCCAGTTATTTTAATTATTAAATTGTAGTAATCTGTAGGATGTAAAATACTTAAATTACGAAATATAGAATGTTATATTAAATTGTGGCAACCAGTAAAATGTACAATATTTTGATACGATTGTTCTAGCGTTAATGGATATTTGCATAATAATATTTTTAATATTTATTTTAATATAATTTTAATTATAATTAATATTTTTTGGCAACTGTAAAGTCACACCCTCCAGGAAAGGGTTAAATTCACCTTGTAATTAACATCTGCCAAATTCCGATCATTTTTGTCGCGTTAATGAAAAGATCGATATCTCGTTACATACAACGATTCCCCTGTTTCTTTTCTAAATATTGCAAGCGAGGCGAGCTCGAGCTAACTGACAGTCATTCCATTTATCGAGTGAGCAATTATTTAAGAGGGTCGGTGGTCATTCCTCGAGAACCGCGTGATAGGGCGCGCACCCCTTCTTTTCTCCGACGATAGTCTTAATTTACTCGCGATAATTCCGATAAAAAAATTTCTTTTTACCGTAGGATCATTTGTTCGCACTCGAACGATTACGATTAAATTACTTTGTACTCGGTCGATAATACAGGGTGGGCCAAAAATCACTTCTTATTAAAATTATAATATATATATCATAACTTTTATAATACTTATTATAACATAATATGATATTATAACTTATAATACTAATTTTTATAATACTTATCATAATATAATATAATATTATAACTTATTATAATTTTATATAATACTTATTATAATATAATATAACGTTGGAACTTGTTATAATTTTTATAATACTTATCGTAATATAATACAATATTATAACTTATTATAATATTTATAATACTTATCATAATATAATATAATATTACAACTTATAATTTTCATAATACTTATCATAATATAATATAATATTACAACTTATAATTTTTATAATACTTATTATAACACAGTATTATAATTTATTATAATACAATATGATATTATAACTTATTATAATTGTTATAGTACTTATTATAATACAATATGATATTATAACTTATTATAATTGTTATAATACTCATTATAATGTCTATAATGTTATAACTTATATTTTGATGTTTCATTTAAAAAAAAAAAAAAAGAAAAAAATAGGTGAGAAGAAGCCCACCCTACATTTATATTCGTCGAATCATTTCCCTGTGAAAATCCTCTGCATATCGCAAATGTACAATAGTTGCACACACGCGAATGTCATTGTAACGGGGCTCCGGAAATTTGATGCAGTCGACCACGACTGCATTAGATACCCAATACCACCGCGTTCAATTTCCGCTTATCGACTGGAAATTGATCGATTTGTTATCGAGAAATAATTGATCGAACCCCGTGGAGACACCTGTTCCATGACGTAGCGAGAGCATGAAATAATCAGCCCGGTAAGCAAATTTATTCGTTTGACGTTACGTTGCAAACACGCGTTGATTTTTTATACCTTATAGCCGAAGACTTGCGGCGAGTGTCTTGAGAATTAACAACCGCCGAGCTGCCAACGAGTAATCTACATTAACGTAACGCAGAGATCCCGATAGAATCGGAAATATCGATTTTGTGATCAAGAAACGGGGTCGTGGTAACTCGTTGTTCGAACGCGTAACACATAGCGAGCGGTCAGTTCTTCGCGCCGATCGTAAATCGTGTTACCAGTAAAAAAGAAGGCGTGATCTAAGCTACAAATCTAAAAATCTACTTTCACTGGTGCCCGATGGCGTCGAGAATGACCGATAACAGTTAGTAATTGGAATTAACGTTCAATTCGCAGGCGTCGAGTCTCGCAATTAATTTGAAAGCCTTTTAATCTGTCTTTCGTCTAACGTTCGTCACCTGTGTCTATTGTTCGAAAGTGTTTCCGCACGATTCGATTCTTGATTACACTTACAGTTTAGTCTGTGGCTCGCCACGTGCCGATAAAATCACACCGATTTGCGATAAAGCGGGCTGAGGGGGAGGGTAGCGAAAATATAGGTCACGAATATTTCTGTGAAATTCCGTCGATCATACTTTTCAAATGAAAACAAAGTCAGAGCGAAAGAAAGACACAGGTAGCTATGAAAGTTCAAGGAACTTTTATGAAATGTTAAAAATTAACCGGGGTTTGTCCATATCTCTTTAAATTTTAATTGCCTCGCTTTCCGTGTTTCGCAAACAGAGAGACAGACTGATGAATATTTGAAACGATTCCTGTTTCATGTTAACAAGCCCGGCACGAATTCTCGTCTCTCGAAGGGAACTCGAGCTTCCGCCCGCTCATTGTGCATAAGAATTTAATGGCATCTCTCTCTCCCGGTCATTGTCCAGCGATGCACGGATCGATTCGATTTTCTTTTTCCCCCTCACACGCTCGCGTACTCTGCTCGCGCGGAACGTGCCACGTGGAGAAATCTCTCAGTGTTTGGAAGTTACGTCTTATTACGTAAGATGGATTGCAAGTAATGAAAGGGGGCTGATCGTTGTGTAAGTGATCACTCACCTGATCGCAGTGTCATTCAGTATCGCAGAATCGTGAAGCAATGCATGTTTCCGCGCGTATGTCCATCGATCGTTAGTTAACCAACCGTTAGTTTTCTTCCCGCGTAAAGTGATCGCAATTTTTCCGCGAGTCACGCTCTCCTCCAAAGCCGAGAAACTTTCATTTTGTACAGGCACGCAACTACGATTCCTGAAATCGTGATAAAATCGTCGCGTCGAAGCGACGATTAAAATAAATAAATGGAAATATTTGCAATTTGTTGTCGCGGTCAACAGCAACTGTACAAGAAGACGTCTGAACGAAGCACTCGTGATCAAAGTAGCACTCTTAACGACACTCGTCGCGTAAAACTGTTGACAGCAGCGGTCCCTCTTGTCGCCTTTGATCCCCTGATTTGTCCGACTCTCGTCCCGTGGCGAGAAAAGTCGTTTCGGCCTCGACGAAAGGGCAGACACTACACGTGGAGTTAACCGCGCCGTCGAGGGTCGACATTTTCGAGAGTTGTGGAAGAACGCACCACTTCACGTGGCCGCGAACGCCGCGCATGTGAAGGGGTTGTCTCGTTCAATTCCGCCCCACCCTCCCCCTCGACGCCAGCCTCGTACATCCATGTCACGTGTACGTCGCGAAACACCGGTCATCCCCTCCCCAACAGGTTAGCAAAGGTACATCCACCTTTTTCTCGGTTTACCTCGGAATTTTTTTGCAAAACTCAGCTCTCTCTCTCTCTCTCTCTCTCTCTCTCTGTTTGACCGCTAGTTTCAAAAAAAAAAGTGGAGATGCCGAGTTGCAAAATTTTCACGGAAATGTTTATCTTTTTATTTTTAATATCGCTCAAAAGTTTCAAAGAGTTTTAATTAATTATTAACGTTTAATTAATTAAATATTAATATAACGTTTATTAATTAAATATTAACGTTTCAAAGAGTTTTTAATTAATAGCACATAAGTATCATAGCAAAACTATTTTTTCTTTTTTTTTTGGCAAATATTATGCCAACCGGTACCTTCTGAAAAATGATAATTGGAGGTGCCGTGTTGCAAACTTTCTACTAAAATGTTTATCTTTTTATTTTAATATCGCTCAAAAGCGACGTTTCAAAGAGTTTTAATTAATAGCACATAAGTATCATAGCAAAACTATATTTTCCTTTTTTTTTGGCAAATATTATAGTCAGCCCTTTCTGAAAAATGATAATTGGAGGTGCCGTGTTGCAAAATTTCTACTAAAATATTTATCTTTTTATTTTAATATCGCTCAAAAGCGACATTTCAAAGAGTTTTAATTAATAGCACATAAGTATTATAGCAGAACTATTTCTTCCTTTTTTTTTTTTTTTTGGCAAATATTGTAGTCAGCCCTTTCTGAAAAATGATAATTTTACTTCTATCGAAGATCATAATCTCGAAACGTAGACGTAACATTAATCACGTATGTAGAGGGAAACTTCTACAGGCAGATTTAGTCGGAAAAAATTTTAATCATTTGTGGTTAGCTTCTTAACTCGTTGTTCAGATTTCGTGTCGAATAGTTTTTGAATGGTTTTGATTATGGTACGTCCTCGAAGCTTCCTCTCCTAATTACTTTTCTTCAATTAAACCACTTGCACAAATAAGCACTCTTATTTACAGATATCTCTACAAAAATTTGTTTCATCTGTTATTATTTACAGATACGCTTTCTTGCTGCCAACATTTTTCAAAAATATAAAAAACAACAATGATATAGTATTTGATAAGCAGGTAAAAAAAAAAAAAAGAAAAAAAATGCAAGTGAAAAGCAAAACAATGCGATTGCGCTGCATTTAGTGCCATAAAATGGTACTAAATCGGTCAACAGCGTCAACAGCCTTGGAACAATTACTATAAAACGACTGCAGTCAACAACGACAACGTCAAAAAGTAAACTGATCTTTCAGTTCCTGAAGGGTTGAAATTTCACCATATTCTCTCGCAGTTACCATCGAATTTATTAGCCTCCCGTCGAAACAGTGGTTTTCGTTTCGTTATCAATTTTCGTCAATATTAACAACATTTTTAGTTGACACGCGAAAGAAAGAAAGAAAGAAATTGCGAATTATCGATGTAATACCTAAGGGCAGTGTAACGCCGATGAGTCAGGGCTGGAGAAGTCGAGGGTATTAGTAGCTACGCAGTGGCCCCAATAAGGAGGGTTCTTTAACGGGGGGGTCGCGTGATTTGTTTGCCTTTGGGGGTTGGAAAAGGGGAGGGAGGGAGAACAAATTTCGACGATAGGTATCTGGCATTTGATTTCTTTCCTTTAATCATCCCCTTCTCGGAGATAAGCTCTCTCCGGTTAAGAGTCTCGGACTTTCGTTGTAAATTAAATCTATTGCGATATCGTTTAATTACNNNNGATGCAACGTCCGATTAAAAAGAATTTATTATCTATATTTGTTAATCCGGGGTCAGCCTACGCGAGGTTTGGATTAGGTTTCTGGCGTTCGATTTCTTTCCTTTAATCATCCCCTTCTCGGAGATAAGTTCTTTCCGGTTAAAAGTCTCGGATTTTCGTTGTAAATTAAATCTGTTGTAATATCGCTTAATTACACTTGATGCAACGTCCGATTAAAATAATTTATTATCGATACTTGTTAATCCGGAGTCAGTCTACGCGAGGTTTGCAAGCAGACGAAAGAAGCGTTCCGAACTAAGCCAGTGGAATAAGAACGTTTGGCGAACTGTTGTCGAGCTTTCTGCCCCACGTATACAGAAAGGGCCAATGTATGCAAATTGCGCGTAGAGCAAATGCATCGCCATGTATGCAGTGGTGGCGTGAGACAAGATCGACATGGCTTTAGGAAGTGACGGTTATTTTGTCACTTACTTCTAGGAGTAAAAAGTTGTACGTACGAGCTACTACAGGACTGATGATTAATATTTTAATACACGTGCACGCGTACGAAGTTATCAAGTTTTCTTTGTTTCTTTTTTTTTTTTTTTCTTGCGAATCTCTTACGAGAAATTAGAAAGAACAGAAGCTTTATATTTTTTAACCTTCGCTCGATTTCCATTTTTCAAAATTCTTATTTTCCTCGACGAAAGACTTGATATCCTCGTCAGCAGTGAACCAATTCTAACTCGTCAACTGTCGTAGGTTTCAAAGTTTCTTTGCCATGTACGGCAGGATAATTTCCTTTTCAAAGATAGTATAACAAAATGTTCCTTGTTGATTTTTCATTTTGAAATCGACGCTGAAACGAACAATTTTCAACGAGATGTATATTCCTCTTTTTTTTTAAACAAGCTCGAACAGTTAGCTAACAATTTGCGAATATTTAAATGAAGTATAAGTGAATTAATCACTCGATTCGTAACGAAGGAAAATTGACCATAGTGATTGTGCATATTGTTTTTTTAAAACAAGCTTGAAGTTAACTATCAATTGGCTAGCAATGAATTCGCGATTTGAAATGAAATTGATTACATTTTCAACATATAGGTGCTGTTAAAAAGAAAAACGGCGATTTGTCCAAGTCAATTTCGACTTTTTAGTCTCTCGATTCGTAACGATGAAAAATTCTAGTAAAGATCTAGAAACGTAACGAAACAAGTATCCTCGTCCGCGTTTATTGTTACGAACGTGAGTGACTCCTCTCGAGTTTACGCAAGTTCGTTTAAATTGAGGTTTAATCAATTAGGTTTAATCAATTGCTACGCCACTGATTCTAATGGAAACGCCAGTGGGTTGTTCCGCAGGCAGTCTAGGCTAGCGAAGGGTTGAAAAGGAGAGCTTCGCCGAAGGAACGACGCGAGTACTGACCAGTCGGTTATATAGCCAACGAAGATTAGCATAAGGTTGCACGCAAAGCTACTAACGTTCAGGAATAGGATAAGGGGGAGGGTAGGTGGCCGTTTCCTCGGCTACCTTACCTCTCAACCTACAACCGACTGTGCGTACCGATTTCTGACTCGATCATTTTCCGTAAACCGTGCTTACATCCCTTTACACCCCATGCGACAAAAACCTCTATTTATGGAATCTGACAGTTTCGAAACGCAACGTGAAAAATACACAGAGTGAAGAGAATAATTTATTATTTCCCAATGATGAAAATTTGTCGATATTTTAATCTACGATAATCGGTATCGTGTTAAATTTAATTTTAATTTTTACTTTCATTAAGGTTACGTGTTTTATGTGTGCGTGAAATAAACAGGGAAGAGCACAATAGTGAAGAATTAATTGTCAATATTTTGAACTGTTAAAAATTTTGTGAAAGAAAATCACGCAAAAGAGGATCACTTGATCTTGTTTTGAGGCTTCTACGGTAATTGTATCGTAGGTTCGTCCTTTTTCGAAGATGTTTTGCATCATGTGGCGAGTCGAACATCTCTCGTTAAGAAATTCTTCTCCCGAATTGGTCCGCCGTGGTCTTGAAAATTGAAATTTCTTCTTTCGAAAACTTGCTTTGTTACCTTTTTCTTCGCGATATTATTATTAACTTATTTGAATGATAAGTTGGCAAAATGTTAGGGTTTCTTGAATTTTCGTTGCTTTTCTAATGTTCAAAAAAATGACGAAGGAAAATTGCATGACAAGTTTTCAGGAATGTAAGTTGTAGAAAAGTTGTGATGAATGTTATAGAGGAGAAAATTTTAATTTTCAAGACTTTGTTGTCAAATGAAATTTTTCAGTGTTTTTACATATGTGTGTCACAATTCAAAAAAGAAAAGAGATTTTTTTCCATTAACTAAAAATGTCTCTGAAAAAAAAAAACGAATTCAGGGCAGTTGTAATAATAATTTTACGCTATTATAACAGTTTGAGGTATCGATAATTATTCATTGAAATTAATTGCAAATAAAGCAAAACTGACTTAACAAGAACAGTTTGTACCTGTCATGACGATAGTAAAATTCTTTTGAAAAAGCTAAAACATTACGAATACACTATTTTGCTTTTTCTTGCATTTCACTTACTAAATACTCTCGATCGATAAAATATTATTTGTAACAAAATAAATTGACTAATTGACTTGATTTTCGAAAAAAAGACGATCACATCGTATTAGAACATAACGAACGATTGATTGGATAAATCTCAAAGCATCGTACGTAATCGAAAGTTCGGTTGAGCTTGGCCATTCAAGAGTATGTTCTTTGGTATCGATCGATACGATTCAGATCGACCTCGTTTCAATCGTGAATTTTATTTTATTCTCACATCCCGTCAACAGACAGATTTTTCTTTCAACATTTTCAAAGTGTTGCGAAAAGCAGCAACCAAAACTTCGTGCTCCAGCCAAACTGCAAAGAAACCCGAGTTCAGAGCTCGAGCTTCGAAATTTCAAAACCATAGAAAATCCGACAAGTCGATGAAAGATGCTCGCTCGCTCGTAATTTCGTAAAATCGACGAACATCAACATCGAATTTCCACCGCGGTTAATTTGCACAGTGGCGTGTACAGTTAAAGTAAATGTCAAGTAGCAAAGTCCACGCGTTGAGCCACGACGATGGAAGCTCGTAAGGTCGAAAGGGATCGAGAAGTGTGACTGACCCATCGAGGTCAGCTCACAGTTAATTTGCATTTACAACAATGGATCCTTCTTTCACTTCGGTTATCTCGTTTTCGCGATATCGTCTCGCAAAGTGCGAGGAAAATGATATTCTATCGCAGATAACGATCTCGCGATTGAAATATTTTACGAAAGATTTCTCGGTGAAAGGTGAAATGTTGGTGGTAAGTTGAGTCAGTGGCGCAAGTGCCATCGCACTTTAATATTATGCGACCTAGTTAAGGGGGTGTACACGAGCGAGATTGTTCCGGGGGCTTTGGCTTTATTTTGCATGCCCGGCTTTCACGCTCTAATTTATAGCGACTCAGCGTGAGATAGTGGTTTTTGCGTATTTACCGGGTAAGAGACAGCTTAAATACGGCTGATATCGTGGATGATTGCGAACGTAATTATTCGTAGGAGCGATCAATTCGAGAAATTTGACACATTTGTTTTTAATTGAAATTGAAACGATGAAATTATCAAGTAAAATGATCCAGGTAATGAAATCGAATGCTAGAACTACCAAAGTAATCAAAATAACCAATTTATAATTGTAGATTTTATTAGATGTTTCAAAAACGTAGAACAGTATATTTTCAGAGATTGAAGTGATTTTTCGTAAAATTTATAATATATTCATAAAAGTTTATATATATTTATATATATTTATAGTTTATTTATATATATTTATAAAAGTTTATATATATATTTATAGTTTATTTATATATATTTATAAAAGTTTATATATATATTTATAGTTTATTTATATATATTTATAAAAGTTTATATATATATTTATAGTTTATTTATATATATTTATAAAAGTTTATATATATATATATATATATAGTTTATTTATATATATTTATAAAAGTTTATATATATATTCATAGTTTATTTATATATATTTATAAAAGTTTATATATATTTATACATATTCATGAAAGTTTGTGTATTTTATTGCATTACAATAAAGTTTCTTTATTTCTTTATTTTAATGTTTCTAAATGATAAATTTCTAAGTCGACGGTTGAACCCGAACTTACACGATTCCATATTTTCATAAACGTTTTAACATGATACACGAGCAAGCAGAAATATACTAATGGTAAAAACTGTTGTGCACGAGATCTCAGGTATACTTGTGACTGATCGACAATGTGTTAAACCTGTTTTACACGAATGCAGTTGATTGAACGAGTGCGAGTTAACTGCGACATGCTAAAAGAATAAGTTTTAAAAACACGAATACCGAATACAATTAAAAGAACTTGTAACTAATAATAAATCAAGTATTTGTGGAACGACCTAATATGTAAAAAGCAGCAAATCGGTGATTGACTCAAGTCAAACTACGCTGAGTTTATTTACCAAGAAATAAATGAAGTTTCAGTAGTACGGTTGTAAATTAAAAAAAAAAATAACCATATTATTACTAGCATCATATATCATATTTTCATCAACTCTTACTTACCTCGCGTAATTTTATTTTTCACTTATCGTTAGCTCGCTTGACGAAGAACATTAAACATTGAAATGCTCGATTAATTGTTTATTCGTTAGACCAAAAATACGAAGTGTACAATTGTACGTGACATATCGCCATGCAGAGATCATGGACAGAAATCATTTGTCACGAACTCGGAAATGAGGCTCGTCCCATTTCGGCGCAGTAATCATTTACTAGCAATGATTGCCACAGACGCGAGACGACAGCATGAATCTCGTGATAAATAAAGATATTCGTCGTTGTTAGTACTCGAGATTTAGTATAAAATAAATATTAAATATTTAGCTTACGCCAAAGGTGTAACTATTTACAAGAATTATTCTAAAGTACGAGCTTAAACACTAAACGCCATAAACGTAATGAAAAAATCTCTGTTCGGCGTGGTCGTTGTTCAGTCAGAGTTCCGTTGTTTCGATCTTCTTGCCAAGAGGGTTAACAATGTTGTTCTGCGTTCGATAGATCGGTGAACTTCGATGAAAGTCGTTTGGTATATTCGCGGCGCTCTCCGCGCTGCAAATGAAATTATCCGTGTCTGATGTTAATGAATTAATTGGATAGGTTAAAAGTACATACCTTGAGATGGAGGATACTCGTGGCTCGATGTAGTACGGTTTATCGTCGTTTCTTTGGTCCGTGTTAACCTCGTCCGTTATTTCTTCGTTGTTCAACGCGTTCTCGTCGAGGGAGTCCCTTTCCGACGTGTGACTCATTGATTCGTCACTTTTGAACCATTCGTTCTCGTAAGCGTGCATCCATATGGGATTAGAGCCCTCAACACTGTGCTTGTTCGTATTTGGTACGCGACCAGGCCCTCTTATAAATTCCGCGTCCGACGTTCCTTCAACACGGACGAGTTAAATTATAAAAATTACGCCAGTCGTTTGTGAGTCGGTGTTTCACGCGATAAAATGAACAGTAGAACGCTAATCGTTCGAATTTCGATTACACGAAATACATTTGAACTACATGTCGTGCAATGTTTGTATTTTTGAATGCGTTATCCTTGCATCAAATATCGTATTTCAATGCCTCGTCTAAGCCAGAGCTATCTTATCCCTGTTTTCTTGATCGCTACTCCCCCTACTGTCCTTCTCGGTGCAGTGGAGGGGGTAGCGAAGAGGAAAGTAGGGGCAAGGCCGCCAGTTAGCCAGCTCTGAATCTAAGCGAAACAACTGTCTTTCATTTATACGATGGAAATACCATCAGAAGGAAAAGTGCGGTGCTGGAATTGAAAGATAAATTAAATACTACTCAAAGGCGAAAATTTAAATCTAATTTAATTTAATTCAGTTAAAAATAGCGAGTCAATGTTACTAGAATTTCAAAGTGACTTTGATAACGAGAGAAATTTTCACCTGTATCGAAGCTTAGACAATTGTATACAAATGGATTTCGAGAAAAAGTTCTTAAATCATGTACCAGGTGAAGGGACGATGAAAATTTTCTAATAAGCATCTACCGACTGTTAGATTAGTGTAACAAACATTCGTATATTTGAAAATTATTTAATTTCTAATTAGATTTAGGAATTTGATTCTTCCCGACTGTTCATTCGAATTCGTCACCCAATTAGTTCGAACGATCAAAGTTCCATTCTACTTCTAGTAAGAACTGCGATGTTATAGTTACCAAACGGCGATGCATTCGCGGCTTTTAGTTGCCTGCGGAACGAGGCTCGCTGCGAGAGGCACAAGGCTATGCACAGAATTAGGAGTGCCCCGAGGAACAAGGTCAAAGTCAAAAGCCAAAACGTAGTCCCCGCCTGCTCGTACTGAACAATCGGCTGATACTGAGCCGGTTGCGTGTCGAGGACGTTGAATTCCTTGAACAGGCCGTCGAGCTTCTCTATATTCCTGTCCACCAGTTCCAACACCTCCGACACCTCGAAAATCGAATTGTCCCGACGGTTCACAAGGTGCATGTACAGATCGGTTTTCGTCCGATCGACAGAACCGTCGTGATTCTCGTGAATTTTGTACTCGTCGATGTTAACTATCGCCCCGGTCACGTTGCCCAGCGTTCTGAAAATTCAACAAAGGTCACCATGAAGTGGTCCACCCCTCTCCCGATTAAAGTTCCGAATTTAATCGAGACTGCAACCGTCGCACTCACTCTCTGAACATTTCTATCCTGTTTCGGACTTCCGGCGGATGCTGTCGCAACACGAAACGCACTCTCTGATCCTCCCTCAGTAAATAAATGAACACCCTCGCAGTGTCTTTCAAACCGTGGGTGTCGTTGGCTAACACCTGAATTCAGAAAACTTTATTCAGACTAACACTGAATATTGTTTACTTTATAATGTATATAATTTATATATATTTATTAATATATATATATAATTAATTATATATGTATATTAAAATTGTTTATATATATATTAATAAGTTTTATTAATTATGTATATATCGTAAAATATCTCCTTAACCATTAGGTAATTTAATACTTTTTTTTATTTTGAATTTAATATTCTTTCGATTTATAATGAAAAAAAATATACGAAATATATCGAATTATAAAAAATAAAGATGGCCTTGAAACTTCTCAACACACACACACACACACACACACACGAAAAATTGATACGCCATATTTTGCCTCCCTTAAAACTATACAACCTTTGTATTAAACAATTTTTTATTAGACGTAATTTAAAGTGCAATTAATCACATATATATATAATTAATATATTATACTATAATTTAAATTTATATATATATATATATTCTATAAAATTACACTGAAATTATGAAATACGATTCCTCTCAAAATGAATGAAATCAGAAAACTTGCCATAAAATCAAAGTATCCCTTCATCCCCCTCTGAGGATCAAAATTTAAGCTCACTACTCCAGTGAGTCTGTTGACCAAGAAAGGTTGTATCTCAATGTCATCTAAACCTTCGGTCAGGGTCATGTGCATTTTGCCAATCTGGTAATAACTGACCGCAGCATTATCACCCGAGTCCAAGTCAGTCGCCTGGAACAAAAACCGTTTGTATTGCATTGTTCGTAGCATACAAAAGCGGCGACAAGTGTAGTTACCTTCACTTGCATAAATTGCGTGCCAAAGTCAGCCTCGGTGGTGACCCCTCCCGTGAATATCTTACTGACAAACTTCGGTGGATTGTCGTTCACGTCGATCACGTTCACAACAACCTTCAGCGTAGTGTCGTTCGCTTCGTCAGAGAACGTCCCGTTTGTCGGAACGATGTTGCAATCCTCCGTCGCTTTCACGATCAACAGATGTTCCTCTTGCTGTTCTCGGTCTAACGTTCTCGCCGTCTGGAACGATTAATCGTAAATTTTGAACATTGTTGAGAAGCCAGGCCTGCCAACACTCCGAGATGGTAATAGCCCTCTGAGAGTGTCCTACGAATATTTATTCCACTAGTCGCTCATCCACGCTTTCTTCAATTTACCATAGACAAAATGATAAAAATAAGAGAAGAGAATACCACTCTTTCCCATCAAATCCTCTTAAAAGTCGTAACGTGAAATTTTGAGTTTCTCGGGTCTTGTACTCACAGTGAGCTCGTGTTTGAAAACGTCGAGGATAAAAAGCCCGTCGTCGTTGCCGCTGATTATGAAGTAACACACTTGAGCAGGAGGATCGTCGAGCTCGTCAACCTCGTCTCTGTCGACTGTTTCCGGTAGCTGCATCGTTTCAGTGCCAGGTGGCTGTTCCTCCGTGAAGTTGATGTTGAAAATATCCACTAGGAACTGAGGCTCGTAGTCGTTGATGTTCCGTACGTAGATGATCAAGTCCAGATCCGTGCTTAGGGGAGTTGGCGTTCCTAGATCGTACGCTTCCACTCTGATCTGACGCGTGAAAAACAGTCGTTTATATTATGTTAATACGTTCGAAGAATTTTCTCAAGAGAGTCGAGTCCTTCTCTATACTTTTTTTTTTTTACGTATTTTTCTTCCGTATAATTTCAATTTTACCTCGTACAATTTTTGCGTTTCCCTGTCCAACGGAAGTTTCAGCGAGACAACGCCAGTAGTATCGTCGATGGAGAATGTTCTCCAGTGGCCGGCCAAGTCCTGCTTCAAACGATAATGAACGTCCCCGTTCGGGCCAGTGTCGGCGTCTCTGGCCTCGATTTGTATGATCGGTGTCCCGACAGTCACGTTCTATAAATTTGTTACATCTCTCGTCGGAAGACGAGCCAATTCTAGCTAGTCAGTTTGCTGTGCAAACTTACCTCTGGCACTCGGATAGTCGTGTTATGCTGCGGACTGATGAACACTGGCGGATTGTCGTTGTAATCGGTCACGCAAATATTTAGGACAGAGGTGTCCTTGTTGGTAGGGCTGCCAAGGTCCCGGGCTTCCAAATGCAACGAGTAATTTCCAAACTTCCCTCGGAGCGAGTGCGCCGCCTTTATATTTGCCGTCCAATGATCCGTTTGCTCCAGGATGAATAAACCTAGTTGAAAGACATCCAAATGTAAATTTGTCAAGACCAACGTTATGACAAATGGATGTGCTCTGGGCATTTAGAAAAGAGACAACTGAAATAAAAAGCAACAGATAGAGAGAGATTGTATTAATCCCTTCAAATTATACAGGGTGGGCCGGAATTGATAGTACAACCGAGCAGGGAGTGGTTCTACGTTAAAAGAATAAGAAAAAAATTTGGTATAACATTTTTTTTATCTGGAGCTTGATTTTCGAGAAAATCGACTTTAAAGTTTCTTCACAAACCTAACTCGTTTCCAGAAAGAATCCTAATCTTCACGCGGCCGTTCGGGGTCGTCGGGTCATCCGCATCCTTCGCCTTGATTCCAAAAATTAAATCCTTGACATCGTGGAATTCTGATATGGTAACGCACGTGGAGGGCACGTCCATCTTTGGTGGATTGTCGTTGACATCCGTCACGGTCACCCTTAAAAGCGAAGAATTGAAATAAAATACGAATAATAAAGTTCTCAAGGGAGTCAGTGTAAATTATTCGCAGATTAATCTCAAGCATTTGCATACTGGATCTGTTTGAACGCGTTTCTCGACTCCCCGGCTGTATAGCCGAACTGATAGTTGTCCCAAGCCTCGATGACTAGAACGTAATTTTGTTTGTCTTCCCAGTCGATCAGATCTGCCACGGTTAAGGCGCCGGTCTCGGGATGAATGGCGAACGTACCCTGTGTCACGAAGCACGAATTTTCCATAAATTTGTTAAATAATTCGTACGATACATTTATGGTGTGATATCACGGCACAATGTATCGTGAGAGCATACTTGCCTGGGATGACACTCGGTCTAGCAGATACGTGATTTTCCCGTAATCGCCGCTATCCGGGTCTCTAGCTTGAATGGTAGCAACTTCCGTGCCAATCTTGGCATTTTCCATCACGGTCAAATTGCCGATGTCAGTCACGAAGTACGGGTTATTGTCATTCTCGTCTAATACTTGAACGTACACCTCGGACAAGCTCGATCTAAAAATATAAAATTCTTAAAAATTCTTCAAATTCTTCTTATTCTTCAAATAAGAAGACGTTATTGTTACGTCGAATCTGATTATTATAAAAAAATCTTATCAATACAGAATTCAATAAGAAGACTTGTTGTTACGTCAAATCTTATTATTACAAGAAATCTTATCAATATGAAATTCAATAAGAAGATTTATTGTTATGTCTAGTCAATAAGAAGACTTATTGTTGCGTCGAATCTGATTATTATAAAAAAATCTTATCAATACAAAATTCAACAAGAAGAATTATTGTTACGTCAAATCTTATTATTACAAGAAATCTTATCAATATGAAATCCAATAAGAAGATTTATTGTTATGTAAAATCAATGAGAAGACTTATTATTGCGTCGAATTTGATTATTATAAAAAATCTTATCAATACAGAATTCAACAAGAAGACTTGTCAAATCTTATTATTACAAGAAATCTTATCAATATGAAATCCAATAAGAAGATTTATTGTTATGTAAAATCAATGAGAAGACTTATTATTGTGTCGACTTTGATTATTATAAAAAATCTTATCAATACAGAATTCAACAAGAAGACTTGTCAAATCTTATTATTATAAGAAATCTTATCAATATGAAATTCAGTAAGAAGATTTATTGTTATGTCAAATTAATAAGAAGACTTATTGTTTCGTTGAATCTGATTATTATAAAAAAACTTATCAATACAGAATTCAATAAGAAGAATTATTGTTACGTCAAGTCTTATTATTATAAGAAATCTTATCAATACGAAATTCAGTAAGAAGATCTATTGTTATGTCAAATCAATAAAAGAAGACTTATTGTTACGTTAAATCTTCTGGTAAGAAGACTATGTTAGCTCGCGAGGCGAGCGAATCAAAATTACCTGGGCGGAATTCCCGAGTCGGTGGCGCGAACAGTTAAATTCAGCCAGGAGTATTGTTCCCTGTCGATTTTACTCGCCACGACCATTTCGCCCGTTTCCGAGTCAAGGTGAACCAAATCCGCCAGCTCTCTCGGGCTCTCCAGCGTGTACGTGATGCTGCGGTTCTTGTCCGCGTCGTCGGCAACGATGTTCGCGATGTTGACGCCATTCTTGCTGTTCTCCGTTACCGATCGTCTGTAAAACGGCCTGCGGAACCTTGGATTGTTGTCGTTTTCGTCCTCGATTATTATGTTCAACGTGGCTGTAACACGAAACACGAAGTGACGATTGAGAAAATGGTCGAAGAAATTTGCGTGACTCGTTTTTATCTCTTAGAAAGTCGTTCGTACTGACCGGATGCAGTCTGTACTCCCCTGATCGCAGCCAAATCCTCGACGACCAGACCCAATCTTATCGTTTCGACTCTCTCTCTGTCCAGCAGCTTCACCACTCGAAGCAATCCGTCGAGCGCGTTCAATTCCAAAGCGGACAGATAATCATACTCTTGGATCTTAATTAGCGTTCCTTCCTCGTTTCTTGCCTCCGAAGAGTTCGGATCGATCCGATAGCGCAGTATCGGCGCTATATCTGGATCGTTAGCCACGACACGATGCACGTACGCCCCCACCTAACGAAATGGCGAGAATTATCAGATAACAGTGAAAAAAAAAAGAAGAAGAAATGTTTTATTAACCCTTTCACTACGGCAGACTTTGATACGAACCGCACGTAGCATGACGAACGACGAAATTTTTCGTTCAGAAAGTATATCGAAATAATCAAAACATCAGATTGCACTATGTTAAATCAGTATTATTTATTTATTGGTTTCGTATCATATTCCGTTTCGTATTGAATTGTTAGTGCACATATAACTTTGAGCTTTATTTCAGAATTTATCGAACAATCTAGTCAAGTGTGGTGTAATTGGAAACATGGGTTAATAATAATGATGGGTAATCCTACACCACAGTTGTTGCATTCGTAATCTGTTTCCCTTCTTCCGTTGTGTTTTCTATACGCTGCACATTTGCTCTTTGCATTTCCTCCGAATTGTTGTATTGTATTCACGTATGCCTTTGCTCATTATCAGTATTCCTATCTTTCGTTTTACATGCATACACTCTACTTGAGCTGTATTGTTTGCTAAATCTGACAGATAGAAAAAGAAATTCTAGTATTTCTCTAGAGTTTCTAGTATTACAAACTTTTTCTAGTAGAATTCAATTTTTTAAATATAAAACCCTTATAAAGAGGAGCATTTCCAAATCACTTATGTCCTCAGAATCCAAACTGTTTTGTCATGTTTTGGCATGTACCTTTTGTGGTTAGTTTTTTATTACCACGACATTTTTAAATGAAACAACTGTAAAATAATCACGTTCCAATAATACATGACAAATGGAAGATGTAACTATTGAATTAGAATTCACGTACGTCTAAGTGAAGTTTGCTACAATTATTTCCCATAACATTTACCCTTCATCTGTCTTCAGTTTGATTCGAGCAACGTGAAGTGAGCGCCCATAGGCGCCTCTCCTTTCACCGAAGCAAGTCAGACGCCTATGGGCGCCAACAGCAACCGCAAGGGTTAATAATTTTAAACGTATTAAACGTGCATTTTAAATACGTGCCTGCGTGTTCTCGCGAATGGTCACTGTACCGGGTTCGATGAACACTGGCGGCTTGTTGTTGACGTCCACTATGGTGATGTTGACCAGAACATCCGCCGTCCTTTGCACTTCCGTTCCGCTGTCGATCGCTATTACGTTCAAGCTATACCTCGTCGTTTTCGGCGAAGTTAGATCCGGATCCAGATTGGAACCCGGCGCGACTCGAATCACACCTCTTTCCGGGCTGATCACGAATTTGTCACCCGCGCCGCTTTGTATTCGATAAACCAGCTTGTTGTTGGGCGACGATAGATCCTTGTCCCAGGCTTTAACCTGCAATGAAAGCATTCTCTTCGTGTAAATTATTATTATTATTATTGTTATTATTAGTACTACTAATACTACTGATACTACTACTACTACTACTACTACTACTACTACTACTACTACTATTATTATTATTATTATTATTATTATTATTATTATTATTATTATTATATAAATTTACAAAATAATATAATACAAATCCAGCGTTTTGTCTCGTAAACGCGATAAAATTATTATTATTATTACTGTTATTATTGTTATTAGTACTATTAATACTATTAATATTACTACTACTACTACTACTACTATTATTATTATTATTATTATTGTATAAATTTACAAAATAATATAATACAAATCCAGCGTTTTGTCTCGTAAACGCGATAAAATTATTATTATTATTATTATTATTACTGTTATTATTGTTATTAGTACTATTAATACTATTAATATTACTACTACTACTACTACTACTACTATTATTATTATTATTATTATTATTATATAAATTTACAAAATAATATAATACAAATCCAGCGTTTTGTCTCGTAAACGCGATAAAATTATTATTATTATTATTACTGTTATTATTGTTATTAGTACTATTAATACTATTAATATTACTACTACTACTATTACTACTACTACTACTACTACTACTACTACTACTACTACTACTACTACTACTATTATTATTATAATATAAATTTACAAAATAATATAATACAAATCCAGCGTTTTGTCTCGTAAACGCGATAAAATTGTACTGATTTTTGTACGCAATGTAATGGTGTATGAAAATTTTTTCTATTCATACTGTTTTTTTTTTTTTGTGAACTAAAGGTAACCTCCAATTTTTTAAATGAAACCCTATATATCTTCTTTTTCGATTACCTTCGATTTTCAAAAAGTAGTATAACTAAAAAAAGGTTTCTAGGTACTTTTACTATTGGACAAACACATGTAAATACAAAAAAATCATAGCCTCATCCTCTTTCATTTTTCTACAGTACCTTACGCTGAAAAGTAAATTCGTGACACAGTAACCACTGTGTGTAATATAAATATCGCCAAGTGATATAACAATGCAAACTACAAATTACAATTATAATTATTGTTAAATGTAAGTTTCAATCATCGTAACCACTCGATATAAAATTCGTTACCTGAACGACGCTGGTACCCCCAGGCAGATCTTCAGGAATGCTTCTCTTGTACAACGTTCTCTCGAATGCGGGTGGATTGTCGTTGATGTCCTTGAGGTAAATAATTAATGGAGCGTCAGAGCTCAAGCTCGGGGTCCCCATGTCCCTGGCTCGTACCGTCAGTCTCAGAGGACGTACCGATGTCTCCCTGTGTCCTTGGCTGATAGGCAACGCTTCGTAATCCAAGGGCGTAGTCGGGGTAATTACGCCCCGCTTCGAATCGATACTGAAATTCCGCGAAAATTCACCCGATACCAAGGCGTACGTTACCTCGCTGTTCTTAGTGCCTGTCGATAAAGAGGACATTGTATTTCTCAACTTTCTCTGGTGATCTAGTTACGTACGATGTACAGCAAGGAGCATAACTGAACTCACAATGATGAAAAATACGTCGATACTTTCACTGTTATAATCTGGAATAATAATAGAATGTTATAATAACTTTGCAAAACGAAAATGGTGTAAGAATCTATTTGGTCTCATTTTGAAGCTTGAAATTTTTTCTTCGATTGTTTTTTTTTTTTTTTTCCAGAGATGCTTTCACATCACGCAGCAAGTGAGAAAGTAAGAGTACCTTTATTCTGGAAAATTGTTGAAAATTGAAATTTTCTTTTCATAACGATCCCTTGAAACTTCCCTTTTTCGTAATTTTATTGAACTCTGAAGATTAAGGTTTGGGATTTTTTTGAATTTTCGTTTAAAATTCATCAAAACAATGGGGGAAAAAATCATAGCAGCAAGTTTTACGAGTGATAAATGGAAAGCTTTAATCTTCGGGACTGCGATGGATTTAATCACAAATAAAATTTTTCTTTTCTCAAAGAAAGGAACATTTATCGCTACGTGGTATTGGAATATTTTGCAATGAAAACGAAACGAGAGCAAGTGAAATTTTTAAACGAAAGTTACAACAGTTTTAATTATCGACAATTTTTCATTTTCATCAAATTAATCATGATGCAAAAACTCACACTCCACGAAAACAATTTCGTACTTGTCGGCACAGTGACGACAACATAGTCATGAAATTCCCCTTGGGAAATCAAAACAGCAAAACAGCGCATATTCTACGTGCAAACACTTGATAATTAAAATAATTGATATGAAAAATCCGTACGTATGTTCAGTTTTGCTCGTCACTGTAGGTGAAAGCAAGCGACGAACCGTTTAAGTCAATGTCGAACGCTTCGACGATTAAAGGCGATTCGAAATGGTCCTCGTTCTCCAGAAGCACCGCCTCGTACTTGTTTTGCAGAAACACAGGGGCATTGTCGTTGACGTCGTTCACATTGACGATCAGTTGGACGGTGTTGCGATTACCTTTGCCGAGATCGTCTCTCGCCTCGACTGTTAAATAGTGTCGGGACACCAGTTCTCGATCGAAGCTCGATCCGGTTTCTTTAACCGTGATCACGCCAGTCAGAGGATCCATGGACAATCTGCAATTCACAGTCAGATCACAAATGAACGATCATTTCGAAATAAAGCTTGCAGAGTGCTTACGCGTGTGCGATGCTGCCGCCTAAGTTCGTGTATCTGATCCCACGAGTTCCAAAGCTGCCACTGTCCTCGTCGAGGGCTTGAACCCACGCCACTGTCGTTCCAACCGCGCAGTTCTCCGGAATCGATACCTCGTACGTGTCCTCCGTGAACTCTGGATAATTGTCGTTCTGGTCTCTTACGAACACGACCACCGGCACTTTGCTCTGCTTCGGTGCCACCGTCGCCACTTCCCTCGCGATCAGCGTGAAATTTATCACTGAAATTGCAAAGGAACAATTGTACAAAGCTCAAACTCCTTTCAAACGTGGCAACATGCAAACCAATGCAAACCTACCCGATCTGGTTTCGAAATCAAGTTTGCTGGAGTTTTTCACGCGTATAAGGAACGGTGCTTCGTTGATTCCTCTGGACGGAGTCACGTCGAATATACCGTCGTCACCGTCGACGAACATTCTGAACGTGCCGTTTGTCCCCTGAAGACAGAAGCAAAGTGAATCTTTGTAAAGTAGATGATCTTCTCTCTCTCTCTCTCTCTCTCTGTTTCACAATAATCTCACGAGATCGTCCTTTTTCTCACCAAGTCGTGATCGTAAATTTCCGGTATCGCGTCCCCGATGAAATTCACCGGTGTATTGTGCGGCGCGTTCTCGTTTATCTCGGCGCGATATCTCGCGCTTCGGAACTTGGGGGTCTCGTCGTTCACGTCCGTTAGGATAATGGTGACCTCGGTGGAAACGGACGGCGCTGGAACGACGCTCGATACCTCTCTCACGGTAATCTCCAGGATGAAAGTGCCCTCGGCGTTCTCCTCCGCTTCTCGATCGAGTTGCGACCTGGTGAACACCAGGCCGGAAGTCGCGTCTATGTCGAACAAGTATCGCGGACCTTGGCTGATGCTGTACGTCACTTTGTTGTTTATCCCCTTGTCGCCGTCCACCGCGCGAACTGCGAAACGTTTCGAGTAATTGTACAATATTTTAACTATAAAATGTTTGACATTTGTATGTTTTTTATATTTATTATATAAATACAAAGAGTGCCCCGGGATAGTACAATGGAGTGTGAGGTGATTCTATTGTGAAGAAACGAAGTGAAAATAGAGAATGAAATTTCTTCGTTGGAGCCTTCGTTTCCGAGAAAATCGGATTTGGAAAGTTTATATTTCAACAGGAGATTGTTATAAAGTAGGCAACAGAGTAAAATTTTCCGTTTTTAACAAAATCAAGTTTAAAAATTTATTAGATACACAATTTATTGTACCGTATCGTGTTTATCAGACGTACAATTTATTTTCTATATTTCGTATATTTTTTTAAAGGCTTCACCTTGAATGGAAAATCTTCATTTTGCATTTTTTCATCGCAATATCCTCGTGTCGAATTAACCAAATTCAAGTACACTGTATTTTATATGTTTTTAGTTAATAATAATATATTTTATTTAATGTTTTATATATTTAAATTACAAATGCCTAATATTTATTTAATTACAAAAATATTCATTCTTCAAAGAAGATCGTTCCGATTCTCTCGATATCGGTAGAAAAAAAAATGCTACTTTGTAACGAGTTAGCTGACCTTGAAGAACAGAGGTGCCTATCCTAGCATTCTCACTGATCCTGGCAACAGGTGTCATGGTTATGAATTCTGGAGGTTGGTCTTCCACGTCCTGAACCTTGACCAGTATCGCGGTTGTTCCTGTGTTTACCTGGAATAATTATCACTGAAGGCCATTCTACTTCGAAGTTGAACTCAACGTACCTGAACTCTACTACAAAAATTATCATTTTTACTATAACATTCATTTGTGACATCAGATTGAAGCAAGTTTTTTTTTTTTTTTTTTTTGCTTTGCTAATGTATTTTAAAGAATGAGACAGCTTAACCAGTACTATGAGGGTTTAATCAGTATAATGAGGTTTTGTAGGTACCCTCATTGCCATTGCGGACAATGTCAATGACATTGACAGATAAGTCTACTGTTTGGTATTGTGATATAAAGAAATTAAAATGAAGTGTAAATTGTAAAATAAATATAAAATATATATCTAAATAATTTAAATATATTTAATATATTTTTATATATATTTTTAATATATTTAATATATTTAATATAATTTTATATAAATATATTTTTATATAATTCATATATTTATACAAATTTAATATATTTTTATATAATTTATATATTTTATATAAATTTTATATAAATAATTTTAATATATTTAATATATTTTTATATATTTTTAATATATTTAATATAATTTTATATAAATATATTTTTATATAATTCATATATTTATATAAATTTAATATATTTTTATACAATTTATATATTTTATATAAATTTTATATAAATAATTTTAATATATTTAATGTATTTTTATACAAAAGTCAAAAAATAAATTAATTCAATTTGTTAATGTAAATCATAAAATAAATTAAAAGTTAAAAAACGAAGTATTTACTGTAAATAGAAATATCTACTGGAAATGGTTTGGAAATTGTTTGGAAATGGCTTGATTTAAATCGGTTAAAATGGAGACAGACCTTCTCGTTGATCGCTCGATCGATCGCCAAGACTCGCAACTGGTACAAGTATTTCTTTTCGTAATCGAGACGGCCGACAAGCCGAATGACACCTTTCCCATTGACAGTGGATATGCTGAACACGTCGTTGTCGCCGTCGAGCTCCTGAAGGTAGTAAACCACCTGGCCGTGTGCCCCTAGATCGGCGTCGGTGGCTTCGACCGTCGTCAAAATACCAGGACCGGAATCCTCGCGAAGAGTCAGGGAAGTCGGATGCGGACGGAAGATTGGCACGTTGTCATTAACATCCTCCACCAGAAGCAGCAAGCTCTGCGTGATGAAATTCCCCTCGCCGAGTCTTCCATCTGTCAGGGTCAACACCAACGCGTATTCGTCCCTCACCTGCCGGAAACGTGCGCATTCCTTGCGTTTCATTCCGACCCTAATTTCTTTCTCTCTCTTCAAATTTAACTTAGAAATGGAACCTTTCTCGAATTTCTCCTGGTAACATTTCTACGAGGGCGTAGTATTTTTTTTTTTTGGTTTCTTTTTTAAGAAACTTCGATTTTTCAAAACCTAACCTCAAATTTTTAAGGTATTTTCCGAATTGCAATGTATGAAGAACATTTTTTTATTACAATAGTTTCTTATCGCGTAGATGTTTCACTGTCGAATAGAGAAAATAGAAGAAGCTCGTCTCGATGGCTAAAGTATTTTAGCATTACGTAAATTTTTTTCAAATTTAAAAGTAGCTGAAACAAAAGGAGCTCGTATTTTTTTCAAATTCGAAGGGAAAATTCAATTTTAAACGTTTTGCATTTACATTTATTGACAATTGATGTTATTGTCGAGAGGAACATTCTATATTTCGTGGCAAAGTTCGCGTCTCGCGAACAGAAGTTATAGCGTGAGCATCGTGATTTCAAATCGGTCGAAAAAGTAAGTTGAAAGCATTGAACGAAAGCTGGATAACGTGCAAATCGTGCTGTCGTTTCGAAATTGGCAGCCTCACGTGTATAACGAAGAGCCTAATTGCACTTTATATCGGTATACCTATATAAATTTTTTATATATACGGTACACATATATAATATATGCATAAGTTTTATAAATTTTAATATATACGGTATAAATTTTTTATATATACGGTACACATATATAATATATGTATAAATTTTATAAATTTTAATATATACGGTATAAATTTTTTATATATACGGTACACATATATAATATATGCATAAATTTTATAAATTTTAATATATACGGTACACATATATAATATATGCATAAGTTTTATAAATTTTAATATATACGGTATAAATTTTTTATGTATACGGTACACATATATAGTATATGCATAAATTTTATAAATTTTAATATATACGGTATAAATTTTTTATATATATGGTACACATATATAATATATGCATAAATTTTATAAATTTTAATATATACGGTATAAATTTTTTATATATACGGTATACATATATATATAATTTATGTCGGTATACATATATAAATCGACAATTTTTCATCGTCACTGGTACAGTTATGCTCCTCTACGCTGTATCTGTAGATCATTGCGAAACGATCGCGAGATTCGCCACGGCGACAAACCAATAATCACGGGACGCGTGGTAGTTTCCAACGAGGAATTAAGCCGCACGCAAACGGTCACGTTTAAGGGAGACGATGATGACAAAATAACAACTTCCACGAATAGATCCGGCGTAGATCGCTGGTTGCGTATTTCTTTAACGTCCCTGAGTTTCTCTTTAATGTCTTCGATACTGTTGCTTGCCGCGATCGAGCCCGACCGTGCGTAAAAGATATTCGAACGAAAAGGATCGCTCGTGCGATCGTGGATGCGCAAAACAACGGAGAACCTACTTTCCTTCGCTGCCTCTCGTGTGAAATAGGCGAAGGTAACGAAACATTGCGAAAATCTTCCAAATACTTTTTTCTTTTTTTCTTTTTTTTACACTTAGAGCTAGAGCAGATTTTTGCAATATTTCACCGAATATGATTTTTATAATATGAATTATAATTGTACCAATTATAATAGAATTATAATTGTACGATCTTCTTTGGGAAAGAATTAATAACGTAGCAGAGCTACTGTGCGCTGATTCATTGATTTATTGATTTATTGCAAAATATTCATTGATCGATCCCGTTCTGCTCAATTATTAAAACCATACTGGTGAAAGAAAGTATCGTTAAAAGGTTCGAGGTGAAAACGTTACCGCGAACAGCTTCGCTGGACGATCGAATTGAATCGTCGCGACGAAATAGACCGTCTCGAGGACGAGTTACCTCTCTGTCCAGCAATTTGTTCAAGTAAATATTGGCCTCGGCCATGTTGAAATTCTCGACCCGGATCACGTCGCTGCCAGGTTGATCTCTAACGCCGAACGTCATGCTGTCACCGTCAGGATCGACGCCGCGAAGCCTGTAAATTAAACTGCCTGCAACAGAAACCAGTTGGCACGAGTCGCGACACGATACGGCAACGAACAAACGACCTAATTAATTGAAATGTTGCTGAAATGCTGATCGCAACACCGTGCAAACGTCGTGCATTGGCGTGCTATCGTGAAATAATGGCACAGCGGAACCTCTGACGTCCAAAATAACGATACGGGGACGTGGCTGTTCGATTGAAAGAATTTTCGGATAGTAGAACACTTGTCTTTTATTGTTAATATATTAATATTAATATTAATTTATAATATATTAATTTACATATTTTCTTATTTATCCAAACATTTCGGGTAGCAGAGCACTTGTCTTTTCTTGTTAATATATTAATATTAATTTATAATATATTAATATTGATATTAATTTATACTAATATTAATATTAATATTAATTTATAATATACTAATATTAATATTAATATTATTTTATATATTTTATATATTAATATTAATTTATAATATATTAATATTGATATTAATTTATACTAATATTAATATTAATATTAATTTATAATATACTAATATTAATATTAATATTAATTTATAATATACTAATATTAATATTAATATTATTTTATATATTTCCTTATTTATCCAATACATTTCGGATAGTAAAACACTTGTCTTTTCTTGTTAATATATTAATATTAGTTTATAATATATTAATATTAATATTAGTTTATAATATATTAATATTAATATTAGTTTATAATATATTAATATTAATATTAATTTATAATATATTAATTTACATAATATTAATTTACATATTTTTTTATTTATCCAAACATTTCGGGTAGCAGAGCACTTGTCTTTTCTTGTTAATATATTAATATTAATTTATAATATATTATAATATATTATAATATTAATTTATACTATACTAATATTAATATTAATATTATTTTATATATTTCCTTATTTATCCAATACATTTCGGATAGTAAAACACTTGTCTTTTCTTGTTAATATATTAATATTAGTTTATAATATATTAATATTAACATTAATATTAATATCAATTTATATATTTCCTTATTTATCCAAACATTTCGCCGATTTCTGTTCAGATAGTAAGATAGTGAGATAACAGAACAGAATCTGACACACGAGTGAATTGCTAATTGTGTACAGAATTTGGACAGTTGAACGTCCGGATGCTAGAACGTTCGAACAGTAGGTCTTCGGATGGTAGAGGTTCCGGTGTACAATGAAATTCCGTACGCTCTTACCGACTGGTGTATCGGGACCTTCCTTCAGCCTAATGATGATTTCCGTTTGGCCATCGATCAGGAAACGCGGTGGATTGTTCCTGGCGGTACAGCTCGCCAAAAGGCAGGCGAACACGAACGCCAGCCATTCTAACTTGAACCTGCGTCTCTTGTAAGATCGCAGTAACCACGAAAACGCGATGATCGGCTTCGTCGAGGTCATCTTGATGGTGAGATCCGTTCGAGTAACATGACTATCCTTGCCCTCGTCGAATGGAAATTTAAACTCCAACTCGGTTCGCCGAGTTTTTTTTACTGGAAATTGATCAGAGATTGTAAGACATTGGAAATGTGAGGTACATGAACTGTAGCAAGGATAGTGAACAATTGTCGATGATTTACACTGATGTAACTTTGTGAAAAATGATCGTATGACGATCCGCTTGATCTCACTTTAAAGTATAAAAACTTCTACTTTGATACGTTGTGAGTTCTTTTTTTTTTTTTTTTTTGTTTTGAAAATGATTTTATATATAATGCAACGGGTGAAGAAATGAGAATATTTTTACTCTCGAAAATTGTCAAAATTCAAAATTTTCTATGATAATTACATCCACCGTCGTTTTGATGATTAAAGTCTCCTCTTTGCAACGACTTCTTTACTGAACAAAAAATATTAAAATTCGACAGAAATGTAAACGATAAAATTTCATCATTTAACTCTAATGTTAAAAATTTCAAGTTCTATAAAAAAAAGAAAAGAAAAATCGCACAGCAAACCTTAAGTGTTTTACACTAGAATTTTACAACGACTGGAGCATAAAAATCGTGTCGAAGAAATTAGAGTCTAGCAAAATGAATGAGAAGAGTTTACGATACAACAAAGGACACAATATTCTATTCGTGTATTTTATAAAAATTATGCAAATCGCTGAACATTGCAAATCTATAGAATTATATTCTGAAAAATTATAAATTAATCATTTTGACTTTGATCAATTCTAGTGTTCTACGGTGGATTCAGTAACGAAAATAATTTTTTTACGTTTTTTACACGCGTTTGAATTTTTACAATTTTCGAAAAATAATTGTTCCACTCGCTACGTGACGCAAAAAGAGTCATCTTCAAAAACAAACAAACTCGCGACTCTCAAATTAGGAGCTTCACTAAAAGCTGCGTTTTAAAGTAAGATCAAGCGGATGGTTACATGATTTTTTTTTTTTTTTTACGACGTTGCATCAGTTTAAGTGGTCGACGATTTTTCATTGTCGTCGGTGCGGTTGTGCTCTTCACTGTGTCCGCTAATCTCAAATGGTATCTGTAACAAGCCCGCGCAGTTACTTCATTTCTATCGAGGGAGCAATTAGTTTTACTTTAACTCTCGCAACGAAGACGTGGCCAATTAAAAAATGATTTACAAAGTTAAGTCGCGATGCTCAACGCCCGGCAAAGCATTCAAGCGAACGTTATTATCACGTAAGAGAATATCAAATACGTTTTTTTTTTTTTTTTTTTTACTAATAATTTGATGCCTAAATCATTAGAGAGTCATACTATTGCGAAGCGGAAGAATTTTTTTGTAATGCAAAAATCAAGATTTTAATTTATCCGTAATTCGTGCTTGAATAACAAATATTCAAGAACATACATTAACATTTACTCGATGGAAAACCTTATAGAAAATACTATCTTTGTAATATATTGTTTAAACAAATATTCAAGAACATATATTAACATTTACTCGATGGAAAACCTTATAGAAAATACGATCTTTGTAATATATTGTTTAAACAAATAGTTTGTTTAAAAAATGGTATACAAAATCGTCGTCAAAAAACACTAATTTCATTGATTTACACAAAAACTGTATCTTTAGTAATTTCTGAGATATTTGACGAAATATGTTTCGGATCCTCAAGTGGTTTGAAGGTAGTTTTCATTCCTTCAACGTCGACGATTGCCGGTTAAAAAAAAAAAAGAAATACGGATCAAATATTTTTTTTTAAAACTACATTTACGTTGAATTTCATCCAAATCGATGATTAACACTTTGGTACGTTCCCTTAGCAAACTTCTCAATGAAAATCAAGTCTCCAGCAAGGTTAGATTAAGTTAGGTTTAGATTAGGTTTGGGATCGTCTCGCGCCCTGCTGAAAAGGTAACTCGACCAGAAGGAAAGCGCGAGTAAACCGGTTGTAAGAAGAAAAAAGGGTCACGGATTTTCTCGTGGCACGCGAACCGATTTCTCCCGGCAAGTGAAAATTCACTGCTCGCGAGTCGATAGAATTTCCCTCCCGACGATCGTAGAAGATTTCGTCGACCATCGTGTTTAGCGTAACAGCGTGAAAAATGCGTGAAGCTAACAACAGTCGCTAGTCGATGAACCGTTAACGAAGAGAAAATGAATTTGGAATTCCGTTAGCATCTCGGTTCGTTTATTTTACCAACGGAGGATCTTTTACTCATTTGTTCAACTACGTTAGCATGTTATTGGTACGATCCATTTCACTTCCATTAATCTTCAATATTGCACAATTTGTCCTATACTTGTGTAGTACAAGTTATGGTTCCGTTTCGAAAGAAAAGGCAAACTGCCATTCCACTCAGATTTCAATTCGAATTTTAAATTTAATTCCCTTGGATTGGACATTGGTTCGAGTACAAATTATAATGAGTAACTAATTATTTAAATTAAGTGATTATATGAACATTGGTTCAAGTACAAATTATAATAAATAACTAATTATTCAATATCTAATTACCTAAAATGATGTTACAATCACAATGAGTCACGCTCGCTCAAACCTAACCTCAAAAATATTCGTCCAAATGAGTGTTAGGTATTATATACGTATGTTTAGTCTTAACAAATGATAATCAGTCGTGTCAAAAGACTGAATCCTCTCC